TAAATAGTCCTAGTAAGTAGTAGGCACTTGAACGACCTTAATACTCCAACATTCAGTTGGGACTAACTTGATGTCTAGTGACCTAAACCCTTGTCCTGAGTCTTGCCATGGAACAATAAAAGTTACCCAAAGACTTGAACTCACGTTTTCTCTTACATCTAACGTTTAACAGCTAAACTTTAACTCAACTTAAAACTTGACCTATCCAAGAACTACGATGCTATCATCATGGTATAAATAATACATGTCCAAAAAGATTGCAAAAACATTTACAAATATTGTAAATAAGAAATTATTTTATAAATGCATTTAAGAATTTGAATATTTTACATAATTAATTGAATTCTAAAAATGTCATCCAACTTTTACAAATAAAATTTAATTACATACATCAAATAAATCATATTTTTTATCTTCATAAATAGAACAATTAATTAGTTTCTATCAATTAAAGAATTATGAATATTAAACTTAACTACTTTTAATTTATTTATTTGCTATTTTTTTTCCACGAATTCTTCTTCTTCTACTTCATCATGAAGAAAAATTCCCTGCCTTTACTAACTTCATTTAATTAAAGAGAAGTATTGTTTACTATACACAAAGCCAAAGACTTCAAGATTTTGAATGGTTTATTTCGCTCTTCTATAATACCTTAGATATTTTATTACCTACTTATTTACTAGCTTTATATATATTTGCATCTTAAATTAAATAATCAAACAATAGAAGTTCAAATTTTACAAGAAAATTTTGAATATTCTCGAATATTTTCCATTACTGACATCAATAAAAAATATTTCGAATTCTTTATCATGCTCCATCAACTTGTCTGTCCTTTAAAGTTTTCACTTGACGATATTTTATATAGGAAGAGGCTAAATACCTTCGTTATTTATGATTTTGTGAATCAAAAAATTTCCAACTCATTAAATATAAAATAATTCGATCAAAAATAAAGTTTAAAATACTTTTTTTTACAAATTTTATAGCTTATTGATTGAAATATGTTAAAAGAGTACGGGTTAATATAAAATAAAACAATTCTGTTTTATCTCTTTCTATGTACACCTAAAATACATTCTTGTACATGTATTATACATGTATGCAATGTACCTACTTAATGTATGTGTTTCTAAATTCATCTGTGAATCATGCATAATTTATACCTGCTCTAAATAGGAATATAGAAAATGTATATCCAGAAGTAACATCAACCCATTAAGTTTCATCTCGTTATGCATTTCGAGCAACATTAAATTGTCAGACAATGCTGGTAATAATAAAGCCATATAAGTTCAAATATTTTAACTATATCAAAAAAAATTATCTATTTCTTTAAATATGTTTATTGCATTACATTAAAAAATCATTTCGATTAATCTTTGAATTATTCTTGTAAACATAAGAAAAACTTGAACTTTGATTCATGATTAGGAAGCTTCACTATCTACCTGAATCATTATTTTCCGTATTTATCTTTTATCAGTAGCTGAGAACAAGATGTCTCAAATGTTTATATTTATCTTCTTAAATACCTAGATAATTATAATGTCAAAGAGCCGCTACATGATGTTATCAAGTGTATGATAACCAGCCACGAGCAATTGGGTCACAATTTATTTAAATTAGAAATTAATCTAAATTTAATCAATTAATTTTCTTCCAAATTTTAATTTTATCTTGGAAATTTCTATGAAACATTCAAATAAAAATCATTATAATTAACTTTTAACGCATAATTCATTACATTAATTAGTGAGTCATTAATAAATAATCACTTCTCACTTCTTGACGTACAAATAATCAAATTTGTCATTTATAAAATTAGATATCTCTATTAATACTAGTACTTTGATCACTTTGATACTCAATAATTCATTGTAATGATAATATCACAGATCTGCAAGATAACTTCAATTATATTAACAGGAATTAATTGATTTATATCACTGATGTCATAATCTAATTTTCTTTACACTTCTTTTCAGACTTTAAATTAAAAAATAAACCTTTTTTAAGTTAGCTGAAAAATCTGGTCTTAATGCTTCACCATGAATTATGTTAAGACCATAAAATTACATCAATGATTGAGATTCATTGAGCTCGTAGAAATTGATGAAGATTATTAGAATTAATTATGATAATAACATTATCACACCTAAGATTTATTACATGATAACTTATGAATAAATAATTGCTTATCATTTTAATAAGTACATTAACATAAATCATCACTTTCAATATCAAAATAAATAATGAAAAGAATACTTATTCACTTTTCATTATAAAGCATTGTATTTAAAAAAAATTCCATTACCATTTCATTCTTTGTTCTGCTCAATTAATTAATCTATTCATTAATGTTCTTAGGACCTGTTCCTGTAGTACTACAAAGTAGTAAAAGTATTCATTGACTAGAAATATCACTGATTTATAAACTTTCAAATCATCAACACTTCATAAAGAGAAAGTATTACATCTAGCTTATGATCTATTCTAATTTTATCCCAGGAATCTCAGAATTGAATTCTTAACATTCTTTAAAATGACGTCATCACAATGACTCATTTGTAGGTCATCACACAGATATTCCCAAAAAGTTTACTTCAAACAATCAAACCAATTGAAAATTACACAAGTTATTACTTTCACTTAAGAAAAAACTACTTCTCTCAAGTCAGTGAAATCTGTATTTAATTAATCAAATATTACTTGAAAACTTCTCAAGTTGTAAGAGTAATTTCTTTCAAACTTAACTCTATTTGTTCTCAATTCATTTTTCATTTTGCTTTTAACCGATGTTATATTTTAAAATGGGCTTAAAAAATGATTCAATCACCAGGTCTATTCAATAAACAACTAAGTAGATAAATAACATTAATCTAAGATTATTTATAATAAAATTCCATTCAAAGAAATGCATTCACGTTCATTCTAAAGGAAAATTGACTATAAAAAATCTGTCAGCTTCAACTGTAAATTTGTATTCTTTCTCATTATCCAATTTTATTCAGAATTGATGGATACCTGTTTCCAACATAATTCACCTATTATTTATCCTACCAACATTAGCTGAAATATTTATAAATTCTGTTATTCATCAAATGATTGATTAATCATTTCTCCAATTTACAGATAATTTTATCTAATACATAATATAGACTTTATTGCACAATAATAATTATGTTAAAAAATAAATTCTATCACTCTTTATATTTTTACAAGAATAATACAAATAAAGCTTAACGGTGTACTTAAGCCGCTAAATCTTGACTGTAAAAAAAAACTATTATTTCTCCATTAGATCATCTGTCAAGATTTTATTCACTAACTGGCATTTTCGTTTAGCAGTTTTTCTTCAAATTCACTGCGTTCGATGTTCTATTATATGTTATATGATCGCTTTCAGTAATAATAGTGACTCTGTATAGTTATATAATTTATACGTCTCATAAGAAAGATAGCACAACATTTCCACGGTAACTCATCGATCGTTGGAATTATTTATTAACTCTCGTCGATTGACAAAATAAAAGGAAATCTGGGAGAAAAAAGTCACTTCGACGTTATAGAGTACTTAAAATCTCATTTATAATGGCCTACTATCTGCTCCCAGGACATAAATTCACCAAGTGCCTTGTACAGATTTATACTAGAAGCCAACCCGTCGAGAGTACCCACAGGAGACGCGTCGATATCCAATTGTTCGTCTATTTGCCATTATCTCTTTTCTACCAATTATCAATGGCTAAATAGATATAAAAAGTTTTAAAAAAATTCTCATTGTACATAAAGTCGTTATTTATTTTCTTCTCTAGTTTTTCATTTCTCTCTCTCTCTCTCTTTATTAACCTGTTATTTTCAACTATAATCTTGAATATTAATAGTGTAAAAAAAGTTGATAAAAATTTTCAACAAAGCCTTTCACATACACATACATCAGATAACAGCACTGTCGAGGCTTGAGACGCGTCTAACTCAGCGCGTAATGAACTTGTGAATATTTAGCAAGGTAATTGGCCACCGCAGGGTAAAACAAGAACTCAGCAAATTGACGTCCTCTATGGGGTGTTCGGGATATCTACACTAATAAAAATTCAGATATAAATTACTAACGTTTATTCTTCAGCCAACTATTGTTTGACATGGAAAATTTACGAAAAAATGCGGCTAAGGAAGAAGGAATGTAATTAAAAGAAAAATGAAAAAAGAAATGAAATAAATAAAACAAAAGGCTGAAGTGTAAAGTGGAAGAAGATTCAGAAAAAAAAATAGAATGAAAAAAAGGAATGCCTTTGATAACAATTCTTGAATCGTTTTTCGCTTGCTTGCTCATCTGCCGTCTTTTCTTTCAACCTTTCCTTCTTCTATCTTGGATTTATACCAGAGAAAGCGTCACTAAATGACATCAGGAGAAAAAAGAATGTATTATGACAGCATTGCTCCAAATAGTGGTCACTGTGTAGTTATTGAACTTCGATTCAAATAAAAATGTATGTATTTGATACATATGTCTATTTTAGAAGAGACATTTTATTACAAAAATAGGATGAAATTCAGTTTACTATTCTAAGCATGAATGCCCAGAAAAAGGTTGCAATACAAAAATAGCAACTGTATGAAACTTCGAGAATAATTGAAAACTTTTTAAATATTATCAAAAAAATAAAATCATTATCTGAAAACGACTAATTATAACAAACCGCAATATTGAATAAAATTACATCACTTCATTGGATACATTAAATTACATCCAGTTCTTCAATTATAAACAAAAATTATTTCGTTAATTAAAAGAATATTTTTATATAAATGCAAAAATATCATCCATATTAATATTTAAATTGGTCAAATTAAAACCTCATTATAATAAATTTTATAAATAATCATTAAATTAAAACGAATTCTATTATTTTTACTCATTTTAGATTCGTAGACATTCATGTATGAGTAAAAATTACATTAGTATTGGAGAAGGTCTAATTAATGCACCATAGTTACAAGTCAATGAGTTAGTATATTTATTTTTCTCAAATTTACAGTGATGGTCAACTTATTACCATAATGTATAATCTAGTTCTAATTAATCATAAGTCAACATCATTAGATACGACATATTGACATGATATTTGTAGAATACAAGTTATTACTATTATTTACGTACATCAAAATGATTGAACAGTGCAGTTAGCAAATGCTGGCCAATCACAAACTTTTAAATCTGGATTGAAGTGTAGTCCATCAGGGCAGGGCATCCAGATTGGTTGTAATCCAACACAAACATAATAACTACCACAGTCTTTTGGATTTGGTAAAATGATTGCTTCATCTTTATCATCAGGTTTAACATGACAATTAACTGGTGGCTTTGGCGTTGGTGATGGTTTTGGTGGATTAGTTGATGTTTTCATTGAGTCGTCAAACAGATTTTCATCAAGAGACTGAACCATGATAAAGCCCACGGTACAAATCAATGCACAAATGATTACTGTAAAATTGATATGTCGATTAAAAAATGGTGATATTGAAAAAATGCAAAGGAAAACTAAAAAATAAACACTTTAATCAATTTTTTGTCACCTCACCTTTCATTTTGACGCCACAAAAATTTTTCCACGTAGACAATAAATGAGTTAACAAGCGAATGGAAGAGTTAATTGGTCATCAAGTAAGTCAAACAACCATTTATATACTCAACAATTCTCTCTGCATCTCCTTCTTTGCAATCATTTGGAATCCTTATCAACATTTTACATAAATGTATTGTTAGCAAATAACTTCTGTTTTTTATTGATAATGATTATCAATTGCAGTTGACAATTAATCGGTAGTATTATTAATTATCAGGTGACTTGATGATTATTTGAAGAAAAATCACCTTTGTATGGCGGTAAAATAATATAAAGACAAATTGTAATGTTGGTAATGTTCTTTTCAATGTAATATTTTTTTTATCAAATACTTTTTATTTAATTAAATATTTCTTATAAATTATTTCAATACATTTCTGAAAAATCAATTAATTAATTTATCCATCTACTTCAAATTAGCAGTAATTATTAAATTATCATAAGCTGATAAAATTTTTAATTATTTATTGGTTGAGATACATATAAAAAAAATGACAAGTAATTAATGGTAATGGAATTGATATTTTTACTGAACTGTAATAATATTTAATTTTATTTTATTTGATTAAATTAATTTTATTAATTCTTAATGAAAAATTTATTTATAATTGTAAGGATATTTATTTATTTGAATTTTTTCTGCAACGAATAAAAATTTATGTATTCTGCTGATAAATAACTTTAGTCAGGTGTGAGTTTTATTCTTAATATGAATGTTGATGGAAGGCGGTATAAATTAATTAAATCATTCACTTTAAAATGAATTAATAATCTGAATTTATAATTTTTTTTTAGAGACAACGACGAGAGGGTTTGGAAAATGTGGATGAGAAGCGTGGAAAGAATGTTCTGGAGCTGGATAAAAAAAAGGTGGTCAAGAGAATGGAAAATTTGGGTTGATTGAAGCTCAGACAAGTTCTGATTTGATTAATAAATTTTAGCTTAGAAATAAAATTAAATTTTATTCAATATGTTTGATAACATTCTTTGTTACATTTCATAGAAAATATTTTCTAAAATTAAGTTATAGATAGACTGTAGGTCACGTACTATAAATCATTAGTGTTGCTAAAGGGCAAAGTTACCCTATAATGAATCAAATATCTACTTTTATATTTTTTCCCACAAAAACATAGATGAGTCAAATGATATTACCAATAATATTGATTTGAAAATATGTTTTCATAAATAATACTTGTTTTATAAATCTACTTATTGAGATAAAACACATTCAAATAGTTTAATTGAATTATAAAATAATCAAGAACAATTAACTCTAAATTTGATTTTATTTGAATTGTTTATAAAATCTGTCTGTAAAATCGATCGATTCTATTTAACCATGATTCTTAACTTATGTTTAAATGATGGGTTTGTATTTCTATAAGCTTGAATTATAGAGTGATCAACGACTAGAATAGATGGTCAATCACCTTGATGGTTCTACTTTATCATCCCTGATATCATTAACTATATTATATATGACCTAGCTGATAATTATCAATTAATATTCAATATAAAATGAAACATATAAATGTTAAAATATGTGTTTTAAGAAACATTTTTTTAAAACAAAAATTTTTTTAACATATCTTTTTTTATAACGATTAAAAAAATAAATGTATCAGTGTAAAAATAGATTATAAGAATTATTAACATCTAGCTAAGTTGATTACAATTTGAAGAATAATGAGCTATTTATGAAATGACGAAGCAAAGTGAACACGATTCGATGAATAAAGGAAGGCGGATCCTGACACTTTGATAATGCTCCTGTGGGTGCTGCTGTCTCATTCGGTTTCTGCTTATGGCGGCTGTACAATACCCATTGTCAAGCTTATAACCATGTATGTCGAGGCTTCTATATGATATCCGTACATTGCACACCACACATACACACCACAATAGAAATAAAATATAAAAAAAATTTATAATATCTTCCCCATAGGATGTATATTAAATATTAAATGATAGTTTCCTTGGCCTCTAAGAGCATAAGAATAGTCCTAAGTTCGCAAGTTGAGAGACATGAGCATCATCACATAGAAAAAGAGTGTATAGCTATAGAAATTCATAAAAGAAGATGAGAAAAGTATAATAAATTTACGTGGCAGAGTGGGAAAAGTTTCCAGTTACCAAGACGATGAATATTTTAACGTTGGAGCTGTGAACCACTGCAGGGTAGCGGGGATCGTATAATTAGCGGTTAAATTCAAATTTTGAATATAACGTAAAAAGTTTAAAAGCCGAGGAGAGATCCACCTCTGTGCTGAATACTATAGACACTTTCTTGGGGATTTTCTACGCTTATCTTTAACTAAAAAAAGTTTCAAGGTATAACTCAACAGTGCAAATAATACCCATCATTGAGAACCGAAATTGAAGAAAAAAAATTTAAGTACCATAGAATTATTAAAAAACTCTAATTAACCCTTTCGACCTCAACTAACTTTTTCCTTAATATATATAAAATATGCATTTTTTCGAATAATACATCAGTCAAGATACCTGTTTAAATACATTGTGCAGATTTCTACTGGGAACATTTTTTGATGAAATATTCAGTCAATATACTTGAGAGCCAACCTGTACTATCAATCGTTTCAATTATTTGACTCAAAAGATTTAAACAATTCTGACCTTTATCTTATTCATGAACAGCTAAATTATTATAAACTCATGTTTAACAAAACAATTTTAGGAATGAAAATATTGATTGAATGCAACCAACTAACGAATACTTATCAATACTAAATCACAATAATACAAAGGTTAATACAGGAAATTAATAATATTAAAAAATAATGAATAATTTAACTCTGGTTCATAGTGATGCTACATAATAGCATTCACTGATTCTTTATTGAGTTGTTGATGAAATAAATTGAAATATATGGAAGCAATAAATATCGAATGGCATGAATACATTGTCATCAGTGAGCTATATTAATTTTTAATTAAAATACAATTATGAAAGCATGCATTAAAAATATTAATACCAATCCTGCTTGGAATTTAAACTAGATTAAAATTATTCCTTTAAAAATAACATAAATATCCTTGGAGTATTGTTAAGTTTTTATTGGTTTACAATATTTAAGTTTTTGCTTCTAAACGTACATGTAAATCTATAGATGGGATATTCAACGATGATCATATTGGCACATTTGGAAATACCACCATCTGCATTTAACGGCTGCTACTTCAGCATTTTTAGCATTTCCGTGAACCAGACAGACGATGACTTGCTTTTTAGCTCCAAAATACTAGTCGATGGCATCGTGGCTCTAAACGACTTCATTTTTCGAGGAAAAAAAAAATATGATAACGAAAGATATCTTAATCCTTCAATATCTGCATCAGTTGCAATCATACTGATGATTCATAATGTTCACTTATTGATATCGTCTTTTATACAAATATTTTATTATTGATATTTACTTATTATTATGATTATTAAAATATTATTTATTATTGATAATTTCTTATGATGTAGTTATTTTTTACTTTCTGGGTAAATTTTGAGGCAAGTAGAAAGATAGTATTTAGGGTGGCCAGAGAAGTTTCGTACTTTCAACCGATCGTGTCGTCCAACAGACTTATTCTGATTTATAAAGGCTTTTAGTCGACACATGGGACAAAAAATACCCCTGTGAACCAAATGTACATGCTTAACGGCTGAGCGACGCCAGTATAACGTCGAGATATAAGCTTTCACGCCGAGATATAACCATGTACCTATATATTCATAATTCACATGATATAAAAAGTGCATGGACACTCTAGTTCTTAAATAGATCAATTTATCTCATGTTTAAAATTCATTTTTTTATTAGTATTAAAATTTTTTTATACTGACGTATAAATTCAAATAAACATGAATTATATAACTTAACAATTTTATATATTTTCATTATAATTCTAATTGATAGTACTAACATTTTTTATTCTCTGCAAAATAAACGGTTAATAAATTACAAATTTGTGAAAGTATTATAGTAACAATTTTTTATTCAAATACATTTCCATTTTGGTCATGCAAATTAGTCTGATTTAAAAAAACATAGCTTCGTCAACTTCATGTTTTACAAAATACATATGATCATGAATAAAAAATAATAGAAGGTAAAATTTAAATACATTACTTGACAGAATTAAAAAAAAAAAAAAATGACATGTTATTGGGGTGATGTATTACCTTTTTTTTTTTTTATTTATTCAAGTTATTTGAGTTTAGTTGAGAAAAATGGAAATTCCAGTTAGTCTAGAGAAAAGGCAACATAGTTGAGAAAGTAGATTGATGTTGGTGATTGGTGATAATGATGGTAATTCTGTTGTCGATTAGTTAAGGTAAGAGCATCAATAGTTGACAGAGCTACTGCCTGCAACAGACAATTCACTGTATCTTAAAGCAAAGATTGTGTTTTATAAAACACTGAAATTACCTTTTAATTTATTTTTTTTTGTTAAAACAGTGCTTCACTTGCAGAGTTTGGAAATGAAAGTTTTTGCCAGAATGACATCAGTTATGCTAATCGTGTAAAGGTAAATATTTGTTTTAACTTTTAATGAATGTATAAACACTGTGAAGTAAACAAGTATTGTTATTATATGACAGGTTATTAATTTACGTGGAAATCAAATTTATTCAACAATATTATCATTTTATTCTTTTAAAAAAAACTTTTTTATTTCGTTAGCCAATGTATGACACTAAGAAGCCAAGTATTGACTTAGTTAATTAAAAAATAGACAAAATAATTAAAAAATTCAAGACACTAATAATTAAAATGATTATTAAAAAAAGAAAATAATTAAATAAAAATAATGATCTTAATAATATATTTTCTTATCCAAAACTGAAATAATAATTGAAATATCTCCAATCTATTTTCATCTGAATATAATCTTACTAAATCTATTTGTTAAAAGGTAATAAACAAAGTAAAACCTATTAGAAAATATCTAAATATCAATGTAAAACAATTTCAAAGCTTATTAACATTCTTTATCCACTAAAGCTTTAATTAAAAATATAATTCATCATTGTTATATCTTATCATAGCTCGTCAATAACTCATAGAATAATTGTAAATAAAATCAAACAGATATTAGAAGGTTTACACTCTAAGTCGACGATATGATATTAAAGTAACCTTGAGATCGATTTTTTCTCTTCACGCAGAAAATAATCTGATTAAAAAAACATAGTCTCACCGGTTTAATATATAAAAAGACACATATGAATATGAACAAGAAATAATAAAAGGTAAAATTGAAAATCAGAGAGAGATGGAAAAATGATGGCGTGAAAACGGATGAAATTGAAAGATAAAGGGGAAAGAGCAAGTAGTTGCATAACCGAGTCAACGTCACGAGAGCTTGAAACAACAGTTTAATCCCCCAGCAGTAGCGTCTACGCCTCTGATCCACGAAGCAGGATAAATGCCCCTACTGCTGGAGTACACCCTTTCTCCTTCCTCTGTTATCCTCCCCAGGGCTATATTCCAACGACCTCGCTGTCAACGGTATGCTCGACTAAAACAAGGGACCCTGAACGTTAAATTTAAGAAGCGCTCGCGCCCGCATTAAAATCAGTACCACCCTTAGTACCACCAAGCTATACATACTTACAACATTTTCCCGTATTTTCTCTATCTCCCTTCGTTCGTTTTCTTCACGCGTAGCCTGCAATAGACAACGAGAAGCTCTATAAGCAAAAGTACCAGTGCATAAAGGGTTCACAAAGTGACTCAAATAGCCTGATACTCGAGATTTTATGAGTCTTTAAGAAGAGCTAATACCACAATGGATAAGAAGAGAATAGAAATACACTATGCGCAAGCTCAATCTTCTTCGACAAACCAACGCTGCTGGAAGCTGTCGGAAACTAAACTGTCGAAACTCGTTAACCACTCGCTCAACTCTTGGAGACATTTTTAGTGGCCATCAAAAACCAGACCTGTCTTTATTATCTAAAGAAAAACTGCTACTCTTTATTATATTCAAAACTTTATTGCCATCATTTATTTTTGACTTCGTTAGAATCTTTTTCATATATCAGTAACAGTCGAATGTGGTGGAGATAAAATTTTTAATCATTTTGTGCCTTTTTATACTTGTTATGAGCTTGCTACTGAGTAACTGGCACTTGATGCTCTAGAGAGAAACTTTTTGGGTTAGTTAGTTGTTTGGAATATTAATAAACTTAATAATTATAATAAAGAGATATTCATTTTGTATAAAAAGTTTTTTATTTCATTATATAGATATATAAATAATTACGTGAGTTATTTTTAGATTATAAATATAATTTTTTTTTGTTTATGAGCTTTACAATCATTGTATTAAACTCTTTCACATTTACACTCTTTGATCAGTGGAGATGTTTTATTTTAAGATACTTATTGATCCAATAGCTGCTTTTCAATTAATTTCCAACTCTAATTAAAAAGATGATTAGCAAAAATTTGTAACACGCACCATTTTTAGCAGATTATGAATTTTAATCTTCACACCAACTATCTGAACTCTGTATTTTTATCCTTAAAAATATTTATCTTAAAAGTCTGGGCGAGTATTCTAATGTGTGATAATTTGCAATAATAAATATTCTGAAAAGTAATTACAACCAATTTGTAAAAAAAAACTTGCAAAGCCAAGACTCTAAACATGGACTTTAATTTATAAAAGTTACTTTCTAAGAATAATTTAACTTATTTATGTCCATTACACAAAATAAAGTCAGTAATGTATGTTTTTTACTCTAATACAAATGAAAAAAAGTTAGAAAATAAGATACAATTTTTCTAAACATTAGTTTTATGATAGTTGTTATGTTTTTATGTCCATATAAATTTTGCTGGTTTTTCTAGTTAAAGTGAACTGAATACATAAAAATACCAGAATTACATAAGTTAATCATCAATTAATTTATTAATCTGATATTCTTTCTAGTTTAATTTCATTTTAAAAATAATCACTAATTCAAAGTCTATCATGAAAAAATTTTTAAAAGATAGAAATAATAGGAATTATTTTTAAAGATTAACTGATTCTTCATGATAGATTATTGGAAATAGATTGTACATACTTTAATGCATAATATAAAAGATTTAAATTTTTTCCAAGAATATCTCTTGATTGATTTAAAAATATTCGTTCTTGAACTAGAAAGCAATTATTCATTGATCCTAAATAATAAAAAGATTAGAAATTATCATTCAAATGATTAGTATCAAGATAAGAAATCTTAATCTGCTCTATTTTGTATGAACAAATATTTCACTGTAAAAAAATGTAGAGAATTTTCCATTCAAACAATCTGTGTACAATTTCCATTTAATAACCCCAACAAAAGTGCAATAATTGCATTTCAAATACTATTACGTTCAAAAGCTGAATTTCGACATTAAAAATAAATAATTGCTAAAAAAAATCTAAAATAATGGAAACATTGTTACAAAGTGTTATTTATTAAAATACTGTCAGATTTAAAAATAGCAAAGTCCAAATTTTAATTTACAACATAAATTGAGCATTTTTCATGTCTAGTAAAGTGAACAGTGAGCGAGTTCCCTCAAACGTAATCTTTGAACGGAAATTTACAAAGGATTTTTAATCAGTCACGATATGTCTGGTGAATAATTATAGATAAAAAAGAAACAATAAGATATTAAAATGCACGATAAGTATCGTAGAGTATAAAGTAGAGAAAAGAGCAAACCTAATGCTTGTGTGATAGGATTGGCACTGCTATATTGGCACAGGTTCACTTCATTTACATAACCGTAATCCTACTTAGAGACCACTGGCTCTTCCTATTCTCATACATTTTCCTTTGTATCTTATGTATGAATATATTATATTTTGACCACATTTACGATTAGATATATAAATACAATTCACAAGAAATTTGAATATTGTATTTATATAATGTTATAAAAATGTTTTCATTTATTATTTTTATGTTAAATTAATTTCTTCCAAGTATCAGTTGTTGAATTATTTATCTCAATGTCTAGCTTTCTAATCCTTATACGTCTCATCATCAATTATTGATAAGGATACTTAGTGATGACGGTCAATTTGCAAATGAATTCATCATCTTATTAAATGACAGAGAATTCAAAATAGGAATCTACTAAAATTTCAGTAAAACATGATTTGAAAGTTTTGATAAAATATTTTTGCTCTTTTTGGTGTTGAAATATTCATAAATAAACCTGGATTAAGAGCAACATGAATGGTTTTATCGAATAACTATTTAACATCGATGTTTCAGCACGATAAATTTTACAAAAAAAAAAATAAATAAAATGAAACCAAGTTTTTTTTTTAATGATATACTATAAAAAAGATAGTTTTCAATTTTGCTTTTTTTTTGTTTTTAATTATTTTTTATAAAAAAAAGCTTTGACTTTAATGATAGATAACTAGAAAATTTTTATAGATAAATAAGTTTAAATAAAGTTTTTAGAAATTGCGATAACAAGTGATCTTACACCTGATACTTTGAACTTACAAACAGAATCGTATACAAACTAGAGAATAAATAGTGATAAAGTAGGTATAGAATACTATAAACGTTACAAATGCTCGAGTAAGATATAATACATCGGAAATCCCAAAAGTATTTCAACTTTCGTATACGCGTGAGAAGAAAGTGGTATAGTAACAAGTTGACTGAACTTTCACCTCACGTGACATCACACTGTATATCTGTTGACAGAGTGGCCCATTGACCTAAATTTTTTCAGTATCCTCCATTCAATTCCTCGAGATTTTCTAAAATCCAATTAAATCCAATTATAACCACTCGACATTCCACGAAGCTGATTAATTCAATTATCTTTCGAATTTTGTTTTCTATTGATGAAAAGATAAATAAACGAAACAATCGTAGCATTTTGATACTTTATTTTACGAAGATGACGTTGGCATTTGTTCTGTTTCAATTGATTTGCTTGTATCCACTTGAAGCAATTGTTTATCCATAACTGAGAAGATTGAAGATGATGCTGCAGAAAGATCAATAAAATCTTGATGCGTATGTGTGTGGATTTGTTGAAGGGATTGAGCTTGAGGAGTGTTTTGAATCTCAATTGGCCCTTCTCCAGGTTGTTCAATAGCTGCAATGATATTCTGTAAGAGTCCATCAGACAACAGTTGACTATGAACAACAGAATCATCAGCACTTTTCAATCCATCCGCTGGCTGTATCTGTAGGCGATAAGTTCCTTTGGGTCCTTGAATTTGCAGATCATCTGATGGTATTTCATTTGTAATACTTGATGCTAACGAGTTATCATAATGATCTTCATTAATTTCAGTATTTTTAATCAAAGCTGTTGAGTTCTGATCAAGATCAGTATGAAGTGCAGACAAAACGTCGTCATTAACAATGAGTTGATTAAAACTCATCGAAACGTCAGAATCAGTAATTGGTGCTTCCTGTGGTTTCTCGAACTGCGTGAAGTGATGAACTGGTAGACTGTACATATTTGTTAAGCTCGAAAATTCACCAGTAGAATCACGGAATTTGTTAGCCCAATTCCTGGGTGGAATTAAATTACCAGGTAAAGAACAAAACGGAAGTGAAGTATGTGGTCTAATTGGGCCGGTATTCCGTGGGATGTGATACGCGTGCTGATGACGTTTGTTGTAATCTGGTCTTCGTGATGCGGGATAAGGGCCGGTAGCACTAAACGATGAAGGCGGTGGAACGAGATAAGAATCAACATTCTCCTTGAAATTATCGAAAGATAATTTGAGAGCTTCCTCATTGTTTACTTTTGGAAGTTGTTGAAATTCTAAGTCGCCTCCAACAGACGGTGGAAAATCGTTGTTAACATTATGATTATTAATGACAGGTTCAACAGGATGAGATAAAAACTGGAGTGGATTTAAATTTGTTTGTTCTTGAATGTTATGAAGTGGCTCAGCATCAGGTAATACAGGTGGTGGTAAACCAGAATCTGTTTCAGTTTTAATCACTTGTTGTTTTAAATTGTGATCAGCGAGATTATTTATTGGCTCACCATAAGAATTACTTGGAATGCCGGTTATTTGGGTATGATCGGGAGTTTGACTTGAGAGCTGACTGTCAAGTGTATCCGGTTGTAAGTTTTGATGATTTGGTCCGGAAATACTTCCTGCAATCGGTTGCCATCCATCATACTCGATATCCGGAGGGGTGGGAGGTGCAAAAGCATTTCGTATTCTCTGCAATCCAGGTACTCCAGGTACACCTGGTATTGACAGCTTCGAGAAATCTTGATGTAAATTGTTTGGAATTATTCGAGGAGCTGATAGACGTTTAAAGTCTTTTGATGGAAATCCTGGTGCTAAAAATGGAGGTAATGCTGGTTTTCTTGGCGGCCCATAAGCTTCAACTGATGTTGGGAATGGAGAAGTTTTGAAAGTCTTCATTGGAGGCAAATTGTTAAATGGAATGTTCATTTTCCATGGTAAAAATGAAGGATATCCACGTGGGAACGGCGGTCGAGAGAATGGAAGTTTTGGATTAACATACATTAAGTCCGGCGACCGAAAATTTTTAATAAAAGAATTTGCCGGAGGCAAAAACGTTTGTGGCACATCCGGTGTATATTGAGACGAAGGATATTGCGGTTGTAATACACTTGATAAGTCATTGTGACTTATTCTGTCTTCTGCAATGTCATTCTGTATAGAGCTTTGATTTTCATCTCGTTTTGATTTTATTTTTTCTCCTTCTTTTTCAAAATTCACTTGTTTTTGTTCCACGTTTTTCTGCCTATTTTCACTGCTGATCGTGTTGACCACCGCCAAAGAATGATGAAATAGCAGGAAGCTAAATAATAGTATTATTGTCGCCTGAAAATAGACAATTTTTGCTTCAGTGCATAGTTACTTCCTATAATTTTGTTTATAACGATAATTGCTTTTTACTCTGAGACCATAAAAAAAAACTTCTCTAGTAATGCATTAAAATTGACTCGAATTTTTTTTTAACTTTGTGTACCAAAACACTACAAAAATTGTCTTAGATATGTAATTTTATTTTTATATCAACGTAAAGTCCTCTTAAAATTTCTCAAAAAATTCTATTTTTATCACTACATTTTTATGACATCGTTATAAATTGCTCCAATAAAAGTACTGTTAAAAAAAATGTCATTACTATAAAAAAATTATTTACTTATATTAAATTTATAAATGAAACATAAAGTCACAAACTAGAAAATTTAATTTACTGAGATATAGAATTGAATAAAAATTTTTTTCAACATTTATTGTGTAGGTTTCTTGCAAATGTTATAATAAAAACTTTATCTTCCACTTACCTTATAATTATCCATAATAGTATTGTCACGTACACGGAAATGAAATAGTTAGCTTAATCCTTCAGTAAGCACAATTAAACTCAAAAAAAAAACCAAATTATCGCATTAAAAAAACCAATTCAATTTCTTCAATAAAAAATTCCGAATTATTACGAAGGTGTTTCATTGATGGAAACTAATATAACCATATCAACTGAACTTAAATTCAGTCTCGAAGGTGTTACACCGTACTTCACCGGAAAAATGACCAAATTAGATGGTCAACACTAGCTTATATAGATTCACTATAACTTCATCAGAGTGTTGAAGTGAATAGTCACGAGATTGTGGATCAGAGAATTGTAGTATAGGAAGGAATGCCTGTTGAAGAAAAAAGAATACGAGAGGATGATCGTAGTGAAGAGAGGGAAGACGAGATGGAATACCAAGAGTGGGAAGTATTCTCTTCCAGTATGTCTTTAAATGAAATAAAAAAAAATCATGTTTGAGTGGAGAAAGTAGGCTGACCATCGATGGCCTCCTGAAGATGCTCTCAACATCAGTCATTAAATTGTGATCCTGTATGATCATCATAAAACAATTGAGTTGCAGAATAGAATTACATTATTGGTAAAATTACATAGTACCAGTGAAAGATAGAATTTAACAGGCCTTAGGGCTAAATTTGAATAAATTACAATAAACATAATGTAGTCGAAGGAAACTTTGACTCTCAAAGCCCATTGTAAAGTAAACAACTGGTCTGAGAAAAAATTTGTCATTTAATTTCTTCCAGAGATAGCTTGAAAAATACACCAAAGTATTATCTCGTCTTTGTATATCTTGGTATTTATAATAACGTCTTTTTTTATATAAAAAAAATATCAAACTAGAGGATAAAAATGAAAATTACATCACTTATTTTTTTATTAAAACTCATAAAGCTTCCAAAAGATGTTTGAGAATTTTTAGAACTATTGAAAAATTTTATAAATTGATATAATCTTGAAGAGTATACTTTTTGGAGTATATAGTGGATGTAGAGAAATAATTTAAAATTACTTATCAAGGAACTATTTAAAATAACAATCTTGTATCATGTGTAATGTGATGAGTTGATAAAGAAAAAAATAAATCAATAGTGAATGATTTAATTAGGATTAATTACATATACTTTGAAATAAGAATCGTAGCTATCTATTAAAGCTAAACACCCGGCATTTATTTGAAAGAAAATGAAAACGAATTTTTTTTTTTATTAATATTCATCCTATGAGAATGAAGAAGAAATGATATTGACTACGGTCAAGGTGAACCAGTGGTAAGGCCATCATCATTCAACCGGCATCAAATTTAAGGTCATGTAGTTTCTATTGCATTAAAATACACGTGGAAACTACAAGATATTCTACTAGGAGTTGAAGAAATCTTGTTTGCTGTTGCCGTTTTATTTCTCTTCTAGTTCTTCATCAATCTCATTACATCTTACCATTATTGTTATCTTTGTTCCCTCTTCTCACTCATCTCTTCTCGTAATAGCAATACTTTCCAAAGAGAGATACAGGTCTTACAACTCATTGCTATCACGTGACAAAAGTCACGAGGAAAATCTCTCTTATACTTTCGCTAAGTTTGCATGATTATTTTACTTATCCTTACTCTCATTCTCTACATATTACATATTTCCGGCATCAGCTTAATTTGAATAAACTCATTCATATAATTAAGTATATGGACGATGATATATCATTAAGAAAAAATTTTAACATACAAAGACTATAATTTAAATTAATTATAAAAAGATAATGCAATGGGTTTTAAGAATACATATAAATAAAGTTTGTTCATCAACTTGTATTTACTTATTTTTTTATTAAAACATTTTATATATATATATGTATAATTTTGTTATTAAAAATTTCTAGTTTGTATGTTATAACGTTGAGATAAAAAAGTAAATTAGAATATAATTGAGAGTGAAAAATGTCTATATATTACTTTGTTAGACAAAACTTATCACAAAATTTACCCATGATTTTTTTAATTGCTTAAAAAACTGTAAATTTTTTTAAATCTTCAACTTATATAATTTTTTTCATGTCTTTATATATGTATTACATTTATTTACAATTTTTTTGATTTTTATAAATTCTGTTATCATTAAATTTAAACTAAAATAAACTATTTGAAATAATAAAGGATTCACTTAAATGAGATTTAAAATCTCATAAGATTCCAATAGATACTTTAATAACTTTTTTCCATTATATATTTACAATTACACGATTTGATATAAAAAATTTATATTTCCTTTATTTTCCTTTGTTAAATAAGAAACAATCGTAAAATAAGGGGGGGACAGGGGGATATAAAAACATAAACTTTCTCTTCGTGGAATTCGAATTTCCGTTGTAATCAGCAGCGTGGGAGATATTCGATATTAAATTCTATTTCTTATATATTTCATCATATACATCAATATCCTCTCAATAATAGTAATATTGTAAAACAATATCATCCTTTTTGTACAAAATAATATACATTTTATTTTTTATTATCTTAATTTTCTGTCTTGTATTAATGTTACAGATATGCATAACTAACGGTAATTTTCACTAAACTCATTATGTTATCGTAATATCGAAGAAAGAAAAAGTGAATGGTCTAATATATTCGAAACCAATTGACCACATTTTTTAAATATCACAATCGACAATACTCTCGAATTTAATAGCTCTAGATTTTATTGACCCATAAATTGAATTATTTATGATCTTTGAACAAAACCAGATTTTGGTGGTGGTCCAATGAATTCTGGATTCATTGGAGGAGCAGTAGGATCAATAGTTTGCTGAGGTGACATCGGACCAGGCGATAGCGACGATGATGATAAAGAATTCGATGATAAATAACTTACTTGATTGCTCGTTAACATCTGTTGAGGTAATTGCGCATCTGCTTGAATTCCACTAGAGTTGTACATTTCTTTTAATATTAATAACATCGTATCTTCCGATTCCCTGAAACATAAAAACCAGAATATTTTTTTAATGAATGAAAATTTATTAATTCAACTATTTAAATTTAAATATCGTTTAATTTATAATAAGAGAACGGTGTAATTACATTCTACTGTAGTTGAATAATTAAAAAAGAAATATTTCCCTGGAGATGAAGAATAAAAAAAAAATTAGAAAAAAATATTTTCGTTGAATTTCTTGCAATTTTAATGAATTAAAAATTTCATATTTAACGAGGTAATATGTCAATAAAAAAAATTTCTAACTTCGTTACATTCAGTGTTTGAAAAAAAAAATAACAGAAAATTGCAATAGAAAGTTGAAATTAAGTAAAACTACACAAGTAAATAATAAAGGGGATGTACAAAAGGAGGAAGACGTGGGAAAATTGTGGTAAAGTTTTGGAGAAAATATAATGTGTTGAAAAGATATGATGAAAGTGTAAAGTCCTGAAAGAAAATGAAAAAGTCGTGAAAGTCTTGAAGAAGATGTAGAGAGGACATAAAATCCTGAAAAACACATGAAGAAGATGTGGACAACATAAAAAGCCTTCTCAACGACAACTCTTATCCTCAAATTAATGTTTTTATTATTTTATGTCACTCTTATTATTGTATTTCTTTATAATTTTATTGTCAAAAAGACTAAATATAAATTTATTCGAAACATAAAATAAAATTCAACAAAATTAGAAAAAATCCCAACCATAAAAACTAATTAAGTAATCATTGAAATAATAATATATTATAGTATACTATTAGTGCAAATTCATAAAAAAATGAAACTTTTACATTGAAGATTAGAGTATTTAATTGAAAATAAATATTTACTCACCAGTAACAAACATGGCTCGTTAATGCAAATATGTACTCATTAATATATTCAAATGGGGTTTCTTGAAGTACATAATCAATTCTACGGCCTCCATTAAGGTTACCAACGTTAAAATCCATCTTACATCCATTATCACTACTATCACTTTGATGATGATGGTTATTAATGCTGCTATTCTCTCTATCTTCATTATCATCATCATAGTTATTTGTTTTATCACTACTGTGTTGCATCCCAGAACTGTGAGAAGCTTGATCCGACATAAGAGATGATTTTTGTAACTGCTCTTCTACCACTTTATCAATTTCCTGTTCCAGGGCTCGATTGTCTGATTGATAGAACATGGCCAGTTGATACACAGAATTCCAAGTGTTTTTCACTGAATTCATGATTTTCTCTTTTAAGTCTGCGCCAACACGTGCCATGGTTTCTTTTAATTCTAAAAATAAAAAAAAGTAATAAAATGTATTAGAGAATTTTCACGCATAAAATACTATTAAAACTTGATTGCTGATGATTAATAGTGATACTGATGAAGAAGAATGGAAAATAATTGTATGAATAATTTCTAATTTACCTAAATGCATTCTCTTTCGCCCTTTGTGGTGAGGAATCAACATTGGTGAATATTTATGCGCTTCTGGATTTACCAACGGTTCTACTCTGTATGCAACTGGATCAAATGGGTGGAAAATATTAAAAAAAGCAGGACACGTCGGTAGTTTAAAATTTTCTCCAAGATTATCAATGCCACGAACTGTTACAAACATTCCAATAGGACTTCCAAGTGCAAAAAAGGCTTTAGGATGGAAATTTAATTGTGGGTAAATAATAAAAGGTTGCCCGGTGCCAGCACCGCCCATTACATAACTAATTCTTCTACTTTCACGACGTTTTAAGGGTGGCCGATAAGGCATTTTTGGCAATGTTGAATTGAAAACGTCATCTTCCTGAAAAAAAATTAATAAATATTTTATTATAATTTTAGTTTTAATGGAAATTGGTTTTTCAAGCTTGATAAAAGGCATTATATTGTAAATTTATAGATATTTTATTTTTCACTCTTTCTTTAATGTTGTTATATGTTTTTTTCAAATGCTAATCCCCCTAAATTTTGCACAAAGAGTAAATAGATTCAAATAATAAAAAAAAAGTTAAACATGTTTTTTTGAAAACAAGTTTTTTCACACAAGTGCTATAAGATAACAAGTTTGAAGATATTTTAAAAATTCCTGAGCACTTTTCTTGTAATCACAGTCACTTTTAACTTATCTAGAATCATAAACTTTGATTCTTTTTTTCTGAATGTTTTAGTTAATAAAAAAACATCTTGAAATTTCAACTTTAACCTGCGTATAAAGACGATAAAATGTTTTTATTTATTTACACTACAAAAACCGTGAAATTTTTTAATGTAGTATTTCATACTGTTTGTTAATTAATAATAAAAAATAAAGATATATGACAACTTCTTAATATAAAATTTATTCATTCATATAAATTTATCTTATTCATACCGTCTTTATAAAAGAGATTTTGGGACGTGTTTTTAAATAACTTTCTGAAAATTCTTGATTTATTTTATGCATTTACTCAATCTAACTTGTAAAATATCTTCAATTTATTGATAATTAAAAATCCTCTTTGATGAATATTACTATAAATTATGATTTCTCTTTAAAATAAATAATAATAATATAATTCCAATATTCAATATATTTTCTTAACTCTCAATAATTTATTTAAAAAAATAATACCTTTTATCTATTGAAAATAAAAATATACTTACAGAATTTTCATGTTCATCTAAATCAGCTGTTTCAGTCACATCTTCTCGTGTCTTCTCAGGCACAGGTTTTTGATGACAAAGTAAATCGAACATAATTAAGCTACCAAGTGAATGACCTCCCAAATAAACATTACCACCGAAGGTTGGATTTCGGTCTTTGAATAACGCATAAAGTCGGTTCATCTCATTGCCGACAGTTTGCATAATAGTTTGACAGTAAATAGGACTTGTGTAAAAGAGAACATCTAGGAGAGTGTCATTAGTAAAATGACGTAACTTAGGAATGCTCTCTAACGTAATTGCACGGAGTTTCTTGTCAATTCCTGTATCTTCTGAATGCAGTGTTGCGTGCCATGATATCGGAAGTACTTCTATTCTATTGACTATTCCATGGGTACTTGCTGTTCGATAATGAGATTGAACAAGTTGATAGGAAATGCTCCGGAACTCATCAACTGTTTAAATGATTAAATATTAATTTGATATTAATAATACAAAAGTTCAAGTCAATATTATATTAGAATAATTTAAAAATGATACGGAAATGAGGTGAATGCATTTCATCAAAACTCAATAGTATAAAAACATGAATATATTTTAATAGGTCGTTAATTATAATTTTTAATTTTTTTCTCTGAATATATATTGAAGAAATTTTATCACCTCACTATAACTTTACTTTAATGACTTCATAAATATCTACTTTTCGTTATTTCTATACAATTTTTTTTATTCGACCGCATAGAAATCAAGAGGAGTACTGAAATTATGGTTTCACGCCTCTTTTTTGTTCAACGTTTTTTCCGAAAAATTCAGAGAGAAAAAACATTTAAAAAAGTCCAATAAAAACTTAACACGTCATTTATCCTTCCTAATAATTGCTCTTTGAAAAAAAATGTCATGATCGAATTTCTCACGCTCGTATATTGAAAGTGAAATGTTTTTTTTTTTTAATTCAACATTAAGATCTTATTAATTTAATTCGAAAGTAATTATATGATTGTTTAAAATAAACTTCTATCAATAATAATGTGTGAAAATAAAAAATAAATTATTAAGGTAATTTTAAAATAATATATGAGAAAATTAATAAACTTACCAACTTCTTCAACAGTTCTAAATTTTAAATCACAAACACTTCCAATACCATGAACAAGGAACAACAAATGATCAATTTTTTCTGGTTCACCTTCATCAATATTAAATTCATCAACTCCACGTTTAACAACTTTGGGTCTATTCGGAGTAACCTGGAAATATTAAATTAATTACTTTAGATTCTAAAGTTTCAAAAGTGACTTCAAAGTTCATATCATCTTACGAATTAATAAAATATTAAGTTTAAACTTACACTACTACTTGTTCGACTTTTTCACAAAAAAAAGTTCATCTATTTATGAACTTTCATTCATATTCATAAATGTAAAAAAAATTACCAACACTTAGAAGAAAAATTTAGTTATTTATATCTAAAGTTTCAGCAAAATTCTTATGTCTATTGAGAATATTCATTACAAAGTCATTTATTTTAGGCTTTAATATTTTGAAAGTAGCTTTGTGCTATCAATAAAGCATAAAGTTTGAGTTTATCGAAAATAAAGTGGTCTAAACATTTATAGGATTATAAACTGCATCATGAAAGTTATGTTCCTAATAATATGCACAAACATAGTGCATAAATTTACACCTTCGATTTTATAATAAAATATCGAATTTACAAGCTATAAAAAAAGGAATTTATTAAACAAAAAAATACTTACATAAGTTTTACTCCAAGACGGACTATTTTCAGTAGATGTTGGCAAATAATGAACCTGTATCGTTGGACTATGAAACACTATATATTCTCCATTACCAAGTTGCACTTGGCGATTCCAGTCATTAGATAAACATGCTTGTTTATATTCTTCTTCCAGTCTTGCAGCTATACTTTCTTCATAAGGAACATAACGCGATTCCGAAGAACCTTTATAGAACCAAGAAGATCTTCTGACCTCAGTAGATATTCCAGACCAATAAACCGGTGATCGTTGACGTTTAATAATTTCAACATCATAACGACCACCATCTGTTGCCACCACAGTCTCTGGAGTGATTGTATTTGAATTATGAACCTCTTCTAAATTCAAACTGTCATGCATCGAAAAAGGATACCACAGTAATTTATTCTCTATTTTCCGGCAGTAAAACCAGTGATAATAAACAGGTCTGTACGTCATTATTTTATTCGATAAATTCTCAAAACTCTGTGGAATTATTCGATCCGTATGTAATCTTTGATTAGAAAATGGATTCATAAAATCTTGACTTGGATTTATTGTTGCAGGAAGTGTTGGTTCGGGCATGACACGAGTCATAAAGTTATTTTGAAGAGTTGATATGGACTCAAATGTAGTATTGGATACAGTGAGTTCCAAGTTTGGTTCATATTTATTGGCTAGATTAACTGGATTGTAAAGTAATGGCGGAAAATTCTGTTGATTGGCATTTATTGGTTCTGTAGTGACGTATGATGCAATTGATGTTTGCTTATCGTTGGAATTATTATTGAAATTTAATTGCGTATCTATCTTATCTGCTAATCCAGTAATCGATTCATTTCTATTTATATTAAAGTTATTCTTAATTAATGGTTTGATTTTTATCTCTGAACACGGTGTATTTAGAACCGTTGGTGTTGATTCTGCAATTTTAGTATCAGGAGTTAATGCAGAGAAATCAGTTATTGAATTGTCGTTTCGATTTAAATTTTCTTGATTTAAATTCGGAAAATTTGGCTGGAAAAAATTGTTTCCGTTATCAGAAGATGTAGAACTCGAAAAATAATTGGATAAAGTACTTTGTTGTTGGATTGGCGATGATCGATTCAAATTAGTTGATGGCGTTGAATTCGAATTCAATACTAAATTTTGTTGATTAAATGTTGTAATTGGCGGTGTCCCGAGAGGTGGTGGTATTGCAGGAGTAGCTGATGTTAAAGGAGGAGCACCAAACGTCGCTGTTGTTAAAGGAGGTGCTCTGAGAGGAGATGTTATTGACGGAGGTAATCCAAGATTAGATGCTGAAGAAGGTACGGCGGAAGTAACTGGCACTACAGGTGGTGCACCAATAACATGTTTTTGATCAATGAAATCAGCTCTCGGTGGTGTAAATGTTGGTTTAGGTGGTGGATCATTAGATATTTTCAAAATATCCGGTGCATTTACAATTCCAGGTGCTGAAGAGTAATTATCTGCTGTCGGCGGTGGCAAAAAAGAAGAAGCTGATGACGGAGGTGTCGTGGTCGTTAAATAAGGCGATGGAGCATATTTTAGACGTCTTTGATGACCGAGGCGATAAGTTGGCGTTGAAGCACCTGAAAAAATTCAATATTTGTCATGTAAAAATATACAGATGCTTCAATTTCTTAAAACTAAAATATTAACTTGGCTTCCAAAAAATGAATTCATTTCATTCAATTTTTTTATTTAGAACTTTTAAAAACTTTTATATTAATATTTTTTCACATTATTTTTTTAAATATCTATAATTTACTGAACACTTATTTTTTTTATTTTTATCTTATTGTATATACTTAGAAGCTTTCTTCACATATGTATTATTCAACAAAAAAAATATTTTTTGTTGATATCCATATGGGAATACCCAACGTAAGTCATCAATTCTCCAAAAACTATGTGTGATAAAAAAAATACTTTCAGTTTTACTAATGATACATGACCTTTTTCATAGAACTTCATTAAGAATTCAAATTTTGAATTGATGTTCACCTGTGTTATCAATTTAATGGCATAATAAATTAAGATTGAAAGACTAAAAATCCAAAATAAACTTACTAATATTTGGCGACGATAATAAAGGTGGAGCAGAACTCGTCACTTTTGGACCTTCTGAATGAGTAACATTTTCAATCAATTTGTTGTCATTTCCAAATAAATTATTATTTGTAAATTGATTATCTGTAGTTGATATTTGAGGTAATTGTGCTGGATCTGGTATCACCGGAGACACTCCGAATCCCGCCAAAGTATTGCCAACTTCCGGTGAAGATGTTGAAGAAGCTACAACAAAAATACAGAATTAATATGTATTTCCGCTTGATTGTTAAGAAAATATGTTGAAATATGTGTATATTTTTTTTATGTTATAATTGTTATCGTATCATATTATTAACCCAAAAACTATTCAGCCGTTCACACATAAAGCATATATTTAACAGGATACATTCGAGCGATTTATCAATGTTTCTCACCTTGCTATGTGTTACTCACATACACACCCATTTTTTAAGTCCCAAAACATGACTAACATTTGACCATTGTGTCATAATTTACTTATTACCGTCATCTTTGTGTCCTCACATTGACGTAGTTGTCATTCTAATATCTCTTACAATCAACATGAAAAAAGTGATAGTATAGCCGATTTTTTCATTTTAATCTTTTGTAACTAGTTATATCTTTTGTAGACCGGAAAATGACATAAAAACTGAGAAGACCCCAACGAATTTGTTATAAGTAAGAGTAACACCTGCTCTAGCTAGTCATTTTTTCGTGTGTGTCGGAATCATTACTATCAATAATGAATCGTCAGTGCAGTTTGATTTTTTATTTGATGATTGTGTTAATCAGTGCAGAGAAAAAAAAAGCTGATCTTTCGTTAATAAATGGATTTGATGGAATTGAATTGTCTGAAGAACCTAGTGAGTGAATTAATTTTTTATTTAAATAATACTTAAAATTAAAAACATAAATATTCTTTTGATTGATAAAAATTTAATTTTCAGACTAAGTGTGTGAATATAAATATTTCTGAATAATTAAATGCTCCGATAAAATATTTTTAAAATAAATATTCCTTTTAAATAATTTCGAATTTATTATAATTAATCTAATAATATTAATCAGTTTATGTTATTTTTTCAATTAAACTTATAAAATTTTAGTCTTTATTAACTTCACTATGTGCATGATAATCAAATGAGTATTCTAGAATGGAAAATTACTTCAGAATAAAAAAAAACATCTATAAAATTGACTGGTAAAATCCCGAAGAAGTTGTTATTGTTTATTTCTAATTCAACATTGTGATTCAACATTTAGCTATAGATTTCGATGATACAGATTAATGATGGTTGTAAACAAAAGATTTAGCACAGATGATAAAAGTGCATTCTTCAAGCACTTTGATCTTTCAGTGATTCACAGTTATTTCTACTGATTTGTATTTCCTGAATGTGATTTTTCAATAGCTCTCTATGAACTACTGTGACGTAAATATTATCGTTCATTAATAAACAGAAATTTTTTTCAACCAATGAAAATAAATATTCGTAAACATTAGAGACAAAGACACAAATGTTTAATGTTTTTTCAACTTTGTTTTTTTAGAAAAAATTTTTTTGATGAGAATTAAAATTAATTATGATACCCCATTTTTAAGAAAATTTTATAGTTCATTATAATGATATTACAAAATGAGAAAACAATCTGAAATGTAATAAACAACATAAAAAAAAGCCATACTTATCAAGCTGATAATACGTATGATATTGTCCTAAAAACTGAAAAAATTTCGAAAAACACTGTACTTTGTTAAGGTAAAATAATTGTTGAATAAATTTCAATGTGTCATAATGTTATAACCCTGTAACTTTACTTGATTAATGTTCTACTTTCTCTAGTAAAATATTCACAACATTGGTTCAGCAATAAATCAATTATGTGGTTACTCAAAAATAACTGCATTAACAGCTTTTAGTTACATGAAAACAAAATATGATTTTCATCAAACAAAAGCAAATAATAAATAATATAAATCATGATTTACAAATACACTAATAGAATAACAATAACAAATCAAAGCAACCATCATAATTGGTTAATTTTGTATTCAAGACGATTAATTAAATTATAATTCAACTGACAGTTCTTTAGGACACGTGTTGAGTTCAATATTTGTTCAGTTCAAAATTACTACCAATGATTATTCTCAGAGAATACTTCTTTTATCTTAGGCACAAAGTTTCGTTGTCTATAAAAGATAGTATCCATATTGACTGAAAACAGCGAAAAACAGTATGCATGCCGCGCAGACTCATTACTGAAATGATGTAATCAATCTTGTTGAACAAAATGTACTATGAACGATTCGCGTGATCGTTATTTTTTTGTTAATTCATAGAAAATATAATGAAATTTCCGATTGAACTTTGATGCATGACAAGTTTTTATTTAAAAGATACTCATCAATATCTCTCTTGTTTCTTACATAATCATTTACTTTTGTTTTCCAGGTCCTATTGAAATTTTCGACATTGCAGATCAATCTATCGATAATACAATGCCTTTATTTCAAAATGAAACTTTAAAAAATAGAAATACTGAATCTATGACCAATCCGGAATTGATAACCAAAGGTCATATCGTTTCTGCAATAAGTGAAGTTGCAGTCAATGGCAATCGACGATTAGATGCATTATCTCTATTAGGAGGTGATCAATATCTAATAGGTCAATCAAGAAAACGAGGTCTTGTTGTTGACCTTGCTCGAGAATCAAAATTGGCTGTAACACCAGGCACAAATTATTTGATGTTTCTTGCAACGAATTATTTAGAAGAACCTTATGATTTTGAAATTAAAGTAGAAAGTGCTTCACATCTTAATGTTGAAATTGTACCTCCATTTCCACCCTCTTTTCCTGTCATTTATAGTCGGGAAACTGTTCAGTTTACTGTACGAATTGTGATACCACCAAATGTTGTTGAAACTGATCATGTCATTGATACTGTAACTTTCTCTGTCAGAAGAAGATATGATTCAACAGAAGTACAAAAATCTGTACGACTTTATTCACGTAATTCTTTACCAATGGTGAGTTATAGTATGTTGATAAATATTAATTAAAAATAAGTATACATATGATAAATAAATCTTAATTGTGCTAAATGGTTAAAACGTGAGCTTTGCAACTAATGATATTGCATAGTGATCATGCTCTTTGTTTATAAACTAACGGTTTACATTGTTAGCTAACTCTGCAGCCTTGCCAAGATTGTTTAAAAAGACTACATACAAGATTTTTAAAATTAGATAGCATAGCTATAAATGTGTAGTGTAAATCTTAAATTAAATCATGAGATCTCCAAAGTACTACTACAATAAACAATTCAATGATCAGTAATAATTAATTTTAAAAAATAAATTCTAAAATGTTGAATGTTTTTGGAAGATATGAATGTTAGTGTTTTCAATCCGTTAATTTATGATTCACATCTTACTCATCAATAGATAAGAGATAAAATATCTTCACAAAATAATGATTTATTATGTTTAAAAATTCTTAAATTTTCTAATTCAATTCCAAATAACAATCTTTACGTGACGTTATATAAAAATATCAGACATTTTAAATGTAAATAATTACCATAAATCAATGTGTTTATGTTTCAAAATCCTTTAATAATTTATAATTTGCTTACCGTATTTTTTGATGGTTAAAGATCAGAAATTGAACTCAGCGATTTACATTAGAGAATGTCGAGACTGAATAAGTACAATCTGGCGTAATTGAATGATAATTTTTTGACACATTACATTAAAGGGTTAACTTCACTATTGTTAAAAGAGTTATTAACTATTATCTGTAATTAATTGCATTACAGGGAAGTAGAACAAGAGAACCAACAATTGACTATGAATTTTATGACAACTGCATTGGAAAGTTAAAACCTGAACGATGTATGTACAGTCGATGGAGTGTAAAGATTACTGTTACTAATAATGAATCGGGTTTGGGGTGGAAAGGAATCACTTCAGAACCAAATGGCATTTGGCCAGAAAGAGATTTCATTGCTGGCGATAAAAATCTTCCTGGTTTTATTTATAGCGCATCATGTTGCCATAAATCAGTAGATATTAAAGTAATTGACATTCTGGATTATCCATACTCTCTACATATAGATGTAACAGGTAAAAACTAAACAAATAATGCTAGAAAAAAGGTGGTAAGTAGGAAACTAATATTTTATTAATTTGTGTTTATTATTTAATTTTAGAATGGTCTAATTTGGGACAAGGTGAAATAATAGCTATTATTATTGGAACTTTGTTTCTGCTATTATTATTGATCATTGTAATTGTGCTTTGCATTCGATGTGTCAGAAAGCAGAAGAATGCAGATTTAAGCTACACACATCGTTATGGATCAAGACCACCAGCATGAATGTTTTTGATATAATTTTACTTAGAAACTCTTTTGTATTATTTTTATAAAAAAAATTATAAGCTATAATTAATTTTAAATTACACTTGAATATTTTCTGTAATCAAACATAACTTGTAAAATGTTATATATTGACTTTCTAAGTCAATTCTTTTTTAAAAAAAGATATCCTATGAAAATGACTTAATAGAATAGAAGTATCAGATAAATGTTTTATTATTTTCTTGAAAATTCATTGAAAATCGTAATATTTGTCAAATAAATACAAATTTTATGAACAAACGTCAATATTGGAACTAGAAAAGGAGTGTCATTAAACTATATTCTCACATGTAAATAATAATACAATAAAAATCCATTACGCAATGCATTTATCTGACAATCCACGTAGCAAATGTGAAATTGAAAGCTTGTTCGATAAAACTATAGTTGTTACCACCAACGATTTATAATAGAAACGTATTGAATTTTTTATGAATTTTTTTGATTAAAAAATAACAACCGATAGATTATTTACGAAACGTGATAATTTAAAATTACTACCTTGAGCATTTGAAACAGATGGAACAATTTCTGGTTGACTGACAGGTACCAAAAAACTAATTTCGTTTTCTTCAAATGGAAGTCCCTGGCCAGCAGCAGTCAAAAGGGAGTTTTTAAATTTATTCGTTGAATCAAACATTGTAGTGGTATTTATTAAATAAAATCACACAAAACCTATCAACTCAAATAAAACAACGTATTGGAAAATCTTACATTTGACATGTTGTTCACTCATACGTGTGTACTTTCCATATTTGACTGAATTAAACTAACCTTAAAAAAATATAGTTCACAGTACTATTCTAGATTAGGTGGCGCAATCGTCTATATATGAAATGTGCTCAACTATCACTATAGTAATTTTTGCTCACTGCTCTCTCTTTTGGATGGTTCCCAAAAGTAAAAGAGGCAAATTTGAATCGTTTCAATTTTTTTATTGACTGATAAAAGTAATGCACTGCTATTCATATAAGTAAAATCAAATTTTAATTATATTATTATTGGACTTTAATAATTTTATTATTGAACTTACTCTATTTCGAAATAAATGGATATACACCATAGGCTTTTAAACATGCTGATGTCGGTAAAGCTGGACTCAAGTCGAAACAGTTTCCCGAAGTTGATACAAAGTCGAAGCTCGATATTAACTAAAATTGAGTAGATAACAGGGAAATCTTCCGACAAATAATACTTTTCAGGAATGCGGTAAAAAAAGCATTAGGGCACCAAAAAATTGACAAATTTCCAAACAAGACAGGGCATAGAATTTATCTATTAATCTCCGTCGGACTGATCCAAGAAAATACCGCAAGTTCAGGCAGTTAATGAGCAACATTGATACCCACCGTCCATATACTGGAATAAATAGCATATGATATCTAAACGTCAAGAACATAAATAAAAATATGTTGGTTCTGTATTCGGAGAGCTCGATTTGTCTATAACGAACCATGTTCGAATTTTCTTTTCTAACCTCAAAAAATGCAAAAAATCGTATTTATGCTTGGATCATGAAACTAAGGGTGTCATTGGGAAGAAGGGGACGAGACAAGTTCCAAACACTGGCTGATGATTGTATTTGGTTGGTAAAATCGAGAGATATTCTCGAAAATCTGCAAAACATAAAAACATGCATAACTTTTATCTAAATGATGCTACGGGGTTGATCGAGGACTCATATGAAAGACCTGGACCTAAGTAATGAATTAGATTCCCCCTATTGGATATCCCCGTCAAAAATGCCGTATCTCGCTTAGTTTTCGAGTTATGAGCGTTTAAAGGTTTTTTTATGTTTCATTTGAGCATAGCTTTGTTTTTCACTCATAACTCACGATTTATGAGAGGTACATGAGCCACAAGCATATTAATTGATTCCTCAGGGCAAGAGCTTTCCATTGATGTAGCAGAAATTATGATCCGAGGACAATTCATGCTAGAATTATAGTCATTCATCCATAAGATTTTTACACCTTCCGACAGAAGGTGGGCTGGGCGGTCGCCTCCGAAAAGACAATCCCTTTTCTTCGGCTAGTACTCTTTACTGCCATACATTGTACAAAATTTATTTAAAAATTTCCTTTTTTTTTCAAACAAATGGATAAATCTAACCCTATTTATGTAAGAATGTAATTATAACTAAGACTATAATACTGAATATATGATTGTGTGACCGTATGCTATGGTTTACACTGGGCGTTCAACTATTCCGGCGGGGAATTTAAACTTACACTAATAAAACTAGAACAGGACGGTAGAAGAACTTAAAACAAATGATTTTTTTCTTTTTATCAATGAAGAATAATTCATAAATTACACTTATACTAGCTCTGATGACTCACTTACTTCCATTTACAAGGATGCTATATAAAAATATCTATAGAGTTAATGAATTTTGTCAACGCTTCAACAATACCACAAGTCATAGAACTTAACATTGATTCTATCCTGTACGGTGGGTAACCCTTTTAATTTAATAAATCTTTTATAAGGCACTCTCTTACTACATTAAAACTTTGGCACTGCCAGAAAATATGATCAATATCTTTCTCAAACTCTCCGCAATTGCACATTCGTCGTGAAATAATGTTGAACCTATTTAAACTGGTGGCAAGAGAAGTGATTATAGTCATTATTCGATGCCAGGTTGGTGTGCCATCTTGCGGTCATTTCCATGAATGCTGACTGCATTTTTTAGCTCCCATAAGGACTGAACTTCTATACCGGTCTCTTTTCTCTGACTTTGGGAAACTTTCTAACTTCAGTCCAGCCCTCATGAAGATAACTGTTAATGTTTCATGACTTTTCTCATAGTAAATTCTTATATACAGAGAATTTAACTGTTAATTTTATTGTTTTAAAATAGGCATGCGTAAAAGGTTAAATTGTAGTTAGCTATGAAAAATAATATAATGACGTTTTGCTATTCTTCTTCATTGCAGAAAGAGAATCTCCTCATGGACAACATAACCTTTCAAGGTTGTTTTATGAGACACCACCAAGCTTACTTGCAAAATTATTTTTTTCTCTGTAAATTATATCTTCTGCGTATGCAATAAATAAATTATTACCAATGACGAATATTTTTCAAAATTTTTTTTAAGTAATAAATCAAATACGCAGTAAAAGTTGCTATGCTCGTTCGAAATAAAAAACAATGGCTTTAAATTTGATTCGGAACTGTTCGAATCTCTCCGGGTACATTCGAGTATGCTCCGAACAGACGAAACAAACCGATTGGAGCCGAAAATGACATGTATTACTATTCTGCACACGACGATAAGCAGGATGGTTTTGAAGTTCTTTATATTAGTTTATATTTATCACATTTATATATTAAATACCCCAATGTAAAAAATATTCTTTTAAACGAAATTTTAACTTAGTAAAACTACCATGGGTGTTGTTGGATTGTGGAACATCGTTACACCATTAAGTAAAACAATACCTGTATACGAATTAAGGGGAAAAACTGTTGCTGTGGACCTTAGTTGTTGGATTGTTGATAGTCAAAATGCTGGTCCTGATGACGGATCAAATAAACATTTGCGGTAAATGTCATACATATTTCTTTAATTTTTTTGAAAATGCATCACCATTTATTAATTACATTCAACTGTTAGTTGTCCATGTAATTCTTTATATACGTTTTTTGTTTCTTATTCAATGATGATTTATTATTACTTGTTGATATATAAAATCAATTGTTTCTTCTTCAATCAAATGTTTAATCTAATTTTAATATATATTCATGATGTTAGTGATTATCCTATGAAATGAACTAACACTATCTTGCTTAATGTTTACAGATTAATTTATGATATCTGCGATATTTACTAGATGAATAATTTAGTCATGATTTTATTGATTGGTCTGTTTTAGGGCCATATATTTTCGTACCATGGCTTTATTATTAAATGGAATAAATCCGGTATTCGTACTTGAAGGAACTGCTCCAGTCTTGAAGCATGATATTATACGAGAGAGAAATCAAAATCGTAAACACAATAAAAATGAAGATAAAAAAGGAAAAAAGGGCCAATCTCAAAGAGCTAATGGTGGACGAGGCCATGTATTCAATAATGTTGTAAATGAATGTAAAACTTTGTTGAAGTTAATAGGTTTGACTTGTATAAGAGCTCATGGTGAAGCAGAAGCAATGTGTGCTTATTTGAATCAAGATGGAGTAAGTTAAATAACTTAATAACACAATTAAAAAACTGGTTTTACTTGTATTAATAGAAGTGTTTAACGCTTCAATTGTTGTCTTTCTTATTACTACAATTTCTATTTTTTTATGAAAATTATAGATGGTTGATGGATGCATTACACAAGATTCAGACTGTTTCCTGTATGGGGCAAAAGTAGTATACAGAAATTTAGCTTTCAGCCAGAAATCTGGCCTTGGTTGTTCAGTTGAGGAACATTCAATGGATAGAATCGAAAAAATTTACAACCTTGGTCGGAACAAAATGATCGGAATGGCCTTACTCTGTGGATGTGATTATGGACCAGGTGTTCCAGGTGTTGGCAAAGAAGGAGCTATCAAATTGTTAAGGGCTGCTGATGAAAAAGATATCCTAACAAGGTTAGAAACTAGAATTATTAGTCAATTTATTTGACTTATTAATTTGACTATAATAATTCGTGCTTTTGTCAGGTTAAAAAGTTGGAAAACTGATGGAAGCATTTATAAACTCGAAACTGCAGTTGCAGCTTCAAAAAATATGTCTGAGTATGTGTCAATTATTTTTAATGTTTTTTTATTATTATTGATAAATTAATGTTATAAATGGCTTACAAAATTTTTTCTTCCAGTGAAATGAAAAAATTGATCTCAAACGAGCTTTCGATACGAAAAAAGTGTGTTGCAATTGATAATTTTCCAATGCAAGAACTTATTGATGAATTTAAAATTCGTAGAGGACAAGTACCTACGAAAATTGATAAATGGGACTGTCCAAACATATCTGAATTAATTGTAAGTACAAATAGAATGTCATATATCGATGATTTATAATTTAGATTCATAACAACGATCATATATTTGCTTTTTAATTATAACAGAAATTTATGGAAAAAAAATTGAAATGGAAACCCGTTTATGCTTTGCTAAAGACTTGTCCTCTTTTAATTCGATGGTACGTGGATAATTTATACCATTTTCCTTCTCGAGTAACAATGACTATGAGGAATCAAATTTGTCCAAAAGAAATAAAGAGAGTACGAAACCAACAATCAATTAATTATGTTGAAATTGAATGGGTGCTATCAGAAGAATTTGGTAATTTAATTGAACTTGAAGAAGAAGAGCATGAAAATAATCAAAGAAAAATGATTATTACAACTTATGAACTACAAGACCAGATAAAAAAACTTTTCCCTGACTTATATGAAGCCTACGAAACAAAAATTTCTCAAAAAAAAAAGCCTCGGAAAACATGTGCGCCACAAAGTAATGGTGACAATTTGATACAACCTTCAAAGAATTTTAAACAAAGAAAATGTAAATTGCATGACGAGAAAGATCGAAAAATTTATGAATTCTTTCCACAAAAAAAACGAATCAATTGCCAAAAAGATTTGAATTTATCAGTTAACTCCAAAAATGCATTAACTCAAATAAATGGTGTAGTAGAAGGTTTATTTAATGAATTGGCCGAAGAAGATTTTGCAACAGATGTAGAAGAAGATTCAATGGAAATGTCCCTAATTGTAGGAAAAGTCTGTCAATGTGTAGATAAAAATAAAAAAACTGATACTGTACCTATGACTGCACCAGTTGTTGAAGATAAAATTCAAGTTGATAACTGTGATGTAAACGTAAGTTTGAATAAATCTTGTGATTCATCTGATTTCGATATACCATATATACCATTGGGAGAACGAATAAAAAAATAAAAAACAAGTCTAATAAAAAGATTAAACACAGATAAAAAGTGTTAAATTTATATATGAAATTTGTAATAAATCATGTAACAGAATGAATAATAATAATAGTTTTCGAATTTATTAGTGATTCAACAAATATTCAAATAATGACAAAAATTTAATTGTCTAAAGATTAATAACTTTTTTATATTAATATACCTAAAAATTTAAAATAATTTTATAAGTGAATATTCAATTTTTATAACATCAATACAATTTATATACATATTTACTAGATAAATAATAACAATTTACATAAATATCGAGTTAATCTCAATTCTTAAAGGCCAATTTAATTAGTTTAACTATTAGAAATGTTCACCTTTGTAGAATTAATTTACAAAGTATAGTAAAATTTTTTATATAAATTTATGAATGTGCAACTTTTATTATGAACTATAAAAAAATGAATAATATAATTCAATAGGCCTATATAATCGATTTATATTTTATTAGTTAGTAATTATAAAAAAACAGATTTTTCAACAAATATAGAAAATCAGTTGAGCTGTATCAGTATGTGATTCAAAAGTAATTGTTGAAAAAATCATTTCTATACATATTGTTATGTAAAAAAATGTTCATCGATAAAATATACCTATGTTAATTACTTTCACTAGTGGCCAACTTAATTTAATTTGTATACATACTAGCGGCTATAAACTTCTGTTAATTTTATCTATCAATATACAATAATAGTCATTTTGTTAACATCAAAATAAATAGCTTAATCAATTTAATAAATGCAATACAAGGTGTATAGCCATATCTAAAGACTTGCGTTAAACGTACTGGACTTCACTGTTTAATTATGTTATCAATTAATCATTGCACTTTATAACTCTTTTTTATGTTTCTTATACATATAATTTGTGCTTAAATGCAAAGACAATTAATTTATCCAACAATTTAATCTATTTTTATTGAAAAATAATCAGCTATTCAGATGACATTAATTGAACATTGTCATCTGCTGATCTGTGAAGTCGTCGAACCTCAGTTAGTGTTCTAATTGGTGTAGGATTTAACAAAGAAAACGTATGCGAATGACGATCTGTAAAATAAAGTGACACTAATTTTAAAAAATACAATTAATCAATCAATAACCAATACTTTTCATTTTTTGTATGATAGACAATTTTTAAAATCTTTTCATGTAAGCAACTTGACAGCAATGTAATTTATCAATTAATTAATCAATCGCTTGAGCATGTAAATTTTACATTATATGATTAACTTTATAATTACTGATCGAATTAATATAACAGCACTGACCTCTATTATCATTCGACGGTTCGCTCACCGACAATGCATTAGGATCTGCCACATGACTTCTTTTACAATAACTAGCCTTTGAGGGACTGGTGGTGCTTTTATAACGAGTTGCCGTTGCACATGAATTATCGGAGTTCATGGGGATTGAATTAAATGGAAATGCCGGGGAATGAGGCCAAGAAGCTGGTGGTGGACTACGAACTAGATGTTCATGTACCTGAGCCAGCGTTAAGGGATCAGCATCCCCCAATTCCTGAGACATCAAAATTGCATCGTCTGATTCTGACTCTTCTGCTGATTCGATCAGACTCTCTCGACTTGCCAAAATCTATGACAATAAGTTGTTTCATTCATTAATACTAATGAATTATTACATTGTCCAATTACGTGTCAATAAATCATAAGCCTCTAATAAATATCAATTATAATATTATATAAATTATAATGAATTATGCCAATATTATTATAAATCTTTACATAAGTATTTTAGGACAAGCATAAATTAATTAATTAACAGAAATGATAATCGATGGATTTTCCTTGACCTCTTCGTATGTTTTATGACAATAAGTATTAACTTCATTGTTCTTATTTTTTTTATATATTTTATTAGTGCAATAAAAAAAAAATTTACTTTATTCCTTTTCAAATTTATTTTTATGCACTCCTTAACCTTGCTATGCATATAGATAAAGTATATATTACAGCATTAGATATAAATAACATTTTCAACTATCAGAAAGTTTTTTCTCAAGTCTATTGTATGAGCTCTTGGGCATAAAATAGACCTGATACTAGTCACAAGCAACAACTATAGTTACTATTGATTTACAATACAATATTAATGATAATTTCGTTTAAATAATAGAAATAATAAATTATTTATTATCAGTAGACTCCAATTAAATTGTATTTTACATCTGTCATTAATTTTTAACTTTACAAAGAGTTTACTCATTGAATTAATTTTATTTTATTCCAATGGAAATTTATTGAATGAAATGGATTTCACTGGTATTTATAAACAATGTCTATGTATAATATATACATATTTAAAAAATTATTATTCCATGAGTTCAGTTCATAAAATTTTAACTGCACTTTGAATATATTTTATATAATTGACTCTGCATGTAATAAATGACTCTGGCTTTTCTGATAATATTAATATTATGAATAATTAACTATTATTAGAGTTACAGTTATATCTGTAAAGTGTTTTTCATTTTTTTTTCAACATAATTCATTGTAATTTTATATTTTCTATATTTAATTTAGCAGAAATTTTTTTCTGAAGAATTCAAAAGTTATCCAGCAATCAAGATAAAAACAGCATTTTCATGTTGATGTAATTTAACATAATCATGCAATATATTACCTGAAGAAAAGGATTGTCCTGACGACTTAATCGTAAAGCTTCCATATCCTGATCAATGTTGCGCGTTCGACCAGGAGTTAAGGTCAAAATTGAATGCGATGGTGATGATTGACTGACTGAAGGAGATAATATCACGTCAACAGCAGTCACACTCAAGCTTGATGGAATTCTATTTGAAACGACCGCTACGAATGATGAATGGATAATTAAACAATACTGTTTTATTTATTCTTCAGAGAAAAACGATCCTGATTGATGATAATTAATGATAACATTTAAGAATGGTTTATTTAATTTATAAACTTCATTAAAATAATAATAACATTACCAAGAGTTTCCACTCGTGCTGTTTTTTCCATTTCCTCTTCATTTGAATTCATTCCAGTGATCAAACGTTTTGGTTTAAAGAGACTTGACAAAAATGCAACACCTTTTCGTTTGATACGATTAAATTTTTGGGTATTTACCGGTGACGATACGTTTATCATACTTATGTTTAATTATTTCGAGGAAAAAATTTTAAATTATGAATGAAACTTTGATTAAATAAAATAATAACTATCGATGAATAGTAATGTAACATTGCATTTACTATTCCACCAGACACCCCTTTAAAAAATAATTTGGGTATTCAAAATTTTTTATAATAAAATCAATCAATTAGAATTCAACTAAAATTAAACAACAATATTTGTAAATTAATCACTTTTTAGTGTTACATAGGTATAATCAAGTATGACTAATTTTCAGAGCATTAGTTTGTCCTGCATAGTCACAGAGGGTTGAACAGAATACTAACAGCCGTATAGGGGTGATAGGTTTGTGGTAGTTTTTCTTCTACGTCAGTATGAATGATTCTGCGCAACTGCAAATCTAAAGTCAACAATATTGGCTTAGAAAGATAACATTGATATAAAATATGCAAAAGTTTTTAATGAAATAAAATATAAGTAAAAAAATTACAATATAAATAAGGCTTGTAAAAATACGTTTTTTAATTTTCCAATTGAAAACATTGAACAAAAACTATTGGACTCGACCATTATAATGCGATCAATTATTTTATCCAGTTCCTCACAATGTGATTCCATTCAAAAAAGTATTCTAAAAAGTCGTGCTAATTACAGCATGGATAACTGACTGTAGTCAAAATTTATTTTTAGTTTTTTTAAATAGATATGAATAATGAAATAAAATTGGATTTTATAAATGTTAAATTTTCGTTTATTATGAAAAATTTTTGATACATTTATTTAGATGTAGTATAAAATGCAAATTCTATCATCAATTCAAGTACATATTAAAATAATAATTTAACTAAAATTATTCCAATTATTCAACTTACTGATCTACATACATTGAAAACGTAAAATTCTTCTCAACTACCAATTATTTATCACTCAATAAAAATTACGAATAATCAATTAAAAATTTATTTATTTAATTGTTTTGTTATTTGTGATATAAAGTCGAGTAAAAAATTGTTTATAGGAAGACAATACAGATAACAATGGCGTAACAGTGGTGTAATTTAATTTAGTACGACACGACTTCTACATCTAGATAATATGAACTTCATGATTTTAAAATCATCGCAATCACATTACACAAATAGTCTAAAGCATTGAACAGATATTTAATAAATAAAAATCGACAGTAACATTTATGTTCTTCAAGTGATTGATATCACTTTTACATACCTATTATGCATTAATAATTTATACTTGTTAAAACATAAAAATTAATTTAATTATAAATTCAAAAGTACGATTAGGGAAACATACATTTTATCGGTAGCAACGGAGCTAATTAATCAAAACTTAATGAAAAAAATTCATTACAAAAATAACTCTTATTGTAACAATAACAATAACAATAACTAACAACAATAATCAATCAATGAAAATAAATAAATTGATAGTTATAATTACTCGGTATTTTTTTTCTAATAATCAATTAATTAAAAACTTAATTGCACTAATTTAAAATCTAAAAACTGCTAAATTAACAGATAAAAATTTATATTGGCTCAATACAGAAATTTTTAACGAATATTTTTTAAAAAAATCACTGAAAAAATAAAATTTATTTTTGTTTGGAATTAAGTATAGATAAAAAAAACTTTTGCATTGATCCAATACATATGTATGTATGTATATATATATATATATATATATATATATATATATATATATATATCTGATATTGACAGAATTACTTTTACATTGAAAAAGAATAGCTATAAAAATAAAAAAAATTATATATATCTATATAATTCTATCTAATTAAAGTGAAAAAAAAATTTCACTAAATGTAAGTAACATGAACAAATAATGAAAAGATATTTGTCCATTTAAGTAATTCATAATAATGAAATTCTGAGAGATTCATTATTAATTCACGGTTATAGTAAACGGTTATCAGTTATTTACAGTCACATGATATATTTTATATTACAGATTAAACGAAAATTATCATAGCTGTTTGACAGAGGCAGTTTATGGCAGTGACCGAAGTCAGAGTAGATATATATTGTCTTAAGAACCAAGATTTATCAGGATAAAACATTTACCTCACGTGGTGACTCACATACATTTAATACATTACTGATTGAATTAGATGATACTTGGCTTTGTGCTTCTGATTGCGCTTGTCGTATGGCTTCTTTATAAGGACCTCTTTTTTTTTTGTTATAACGTGCCTAGAGAAAATGATATCAATAGTTAATTTTAATCATTACAAAATTACTATGTGATGATTAAATAAAGATAGAAATACCTTGAATGTTTCGAGAAAAGGACTTAAACGATCACATGACATTAAAGAACATGTTGATGATCCATACCATGCAACATGGGCCTGGGCTCCAGATGATGTTCCATCTTCTTTACAAGAGACAGATATACTTAAAACCTATAAAAACAGATTGATTAAAATTTCTTATTTACTTGATGGTTTCAATTCATTGATCAACACGTTGCATGCCACGTGAATTATCAATAATCTTTGATATATTTCAAGATAAAGCTTCTTCGGTCACGATATTCACAATATCAATTTTCATTCGAGTTTAAATTCCATATCTTTACATTGATAGAGTAAAAATAATAACAGCTGAGATAACACAAAATGTTTTCAGTTTTAAGGCATTATTTGAAAAGCTAAAAAAAGTTTTAAGAATTCAAAATATTTGTGCTATTCAACACAATGAACTATTATTCTTTATTATAAATAAGTTTCGTGTTAATTAAAAAGTTGACTAACCTTTCCAGGCCACCATGGAAATCCGTGAATTTTTCCCCAAACAATATCTCCAACATCCATTCTCCTTCCGGTAGCTGTAAGACAATGTTCTACAGATGTCGTAGAAAAAGGAATGGAAAGTGGAGATGAAGATGAAGAAAAATTAGAAATACCATTGTTTTCGTCAATTTTATTTTTCAGCTTCTGTGCAGGCTTTGTTTCTGAATCTGGTTCAGTTTCACTCATTTCCTCACTACTTGTAATAGGAGTTTTGCAATCTGAAGACGTGTTGCTTGATGAATAATTACATCGAGTATACGCATTAGCATTTAGGCGTCTTAAAGATATACATAATTTTTGTTTCAAACATTGCTCTTTAATAGCTGTATAAGATTCACTTTCAGAGAAATCATTCAAGTTTTTCTTTTGATGTTGTTTATCTAATGCAGGAAATAAATTTAATTCTTTGGTCTCGTTGTTAGCATCTTTCTGTAATACCTCTTGACTTTTGTGTTGCTTTCGTCCTTCTTTATGCTTCTTTTTGTGCTTATCTTTGTGTTTTCGTCGATGATATAATACAGGTGGATCACATGTTGAATTATATCTTGAGGAAGTACTCAAAGGTGATCTTGCTGGTGATACTCCACCATTAGATATTTTCTTCTGAGCTTCTTTCTTGGCCTTTTTTAATGCTTTTTTTGCAGCTTTAGCACATGCTAAGTCTTTATGATTAAACTTTGTCGCATCAACTGATTTTTGGCACTCTTTATCTTCATTACTATCGACATTATTTATTACATTTTCGTCGATAACTGTGCCATCTTCGCTGTCTTGAGGTTTTTTTTCCTCATCGTCTTCCTCATTATCATCAATTTCACTGGATGGATTTTTCGTTTTTGAAGGTATTTTTAAAACGGTACCTTCTCCTTGCGATCCAAATGATATTTTTATAACAGGTGTGGCTCTTGGTGATTTTATCACATCTTCAAAAATAGTTTCATCCCACAGATCTTCCATAGAGCCAACAGATCGTTTTTTTCTTATCCTCCTACTAGATTTGCTTTTTATTGTTGAATCTGCTGCTGCCAAAGTCTTCTCTTCTAGCATTCCGTCATTATCAAATATCTTATCATCACCATCAACAGCAAAATTATTCAACCTGCTTGGAGTGGCATCATCTTTATCGCATGAGCCACCAGAATTATCGTTCGACCAACTTAATCCTACATTTTCTTTTAATTCATTTTTACTACAATCGTTTTTTTTACTAAAATCCAGTCTAGAAATTTTTGGAATCAATGAAGAAAAATAATTGCTTGATTCACTGCTGCCTTGATCTGATTGTTGTTGAATCCGACGCTCACTCCGTCTCACTCCAGATGCTAATGGCTCTGAATCAAGATTATCTTTGGAATTATCGAATTTTCGTTTTTTCCCTAAATCCACATTTTCATTTTTTTCATTACAAATAGATCGACATTTATTGCATAATACTTGTCTAGGACGTAATCTCACTGTCGGTCGAGTATTTTTATACTTGACTGAAGGATTTACGTTCTTCTTAGGCTCCTGTGGCTTCACTTTCGATATTTCAGGTTCTTGAAAGTATGTGAAACGAGCCGCTAATGCACTCAATTTGTCGCCATCGGTATCTGTTGTAGGTTTTGGTGGATTTATACCGCAAGGCAATCCCCTGATAACAGAATCAAACATTTATTTGTGTAAACGCGAATATAAGTGATAAAAACACACAATGAATCATTATGAATCATTCAATGCGTATAATTCAAATGATCAAAAGTTAAATTTATGTTTAAAACTACAGTCAATTGGATAACTAAATGACATTTGAATGATGTAAAAGCATGTTCTTTATAAATATTGAATGATTTTTTTAATGAATGCCTCATTTTTGATGTAGAAATACGCAAAGACGTCACTTTTAAAGTCCGTATGTGATACGACGTTACGAAGCTTATTTTGTGATATTTTTTAATTGGAATAATTGGGAGAATGAAAATAAAGTACAATAAATTATAAAATAGCTTAATTGTATTGTTTTGATGATAAAATTTTTATTTTCTATGAAAATTGCAAAATTTCGGCCGCTTGGTTTGATTAAATATAAATGAAAATGCTTACTTTTTATTAACATCAAGTAAAGCACCCTGGAAAGACCTAACTCCATTTATAAAACTGACTACAATAATATCTGGTAGAGCTGATTCTACGGTTACGACAATTTGATCACCTTTGGCAATTGTTAAAGTGGAAAGTAATTCGGTGCCCGCCATGTTGAAGTAAATAATTATAACAATCTATTCATTTACTTCACTATAATTTCGTTTATACCGCATGTATACATTTAATTGAAGCTTAAAATTGAATCAGCTGAGTGATACAACAGCGTAACCATCTTTAAAAAGTTGCTAAGGTTAAGTATCAACACGAATATTTCAAATGCATAAATTTACATAAACCCTATTCAACTACAAAGCACACCTTTGCCACTGATTTCATGGCATCCCAATCCCCCAAGCTGCTCCAAAGACCTCTCAACATGAAGGTAGAGACTCACTGCGGTGAAATCGATAACTAAAATTTGTCAATGGAATTTTTTACGTTCTAAAGGGTAAGGGGGTGTCACGCGTAAAGAGTTAATTCATTCATAATGAGATTTTTTATTCACCACTTGATAAACTTTTAATGTAATGTCGGTTTTATTTATTCTCAACCAGTTTTTGATAAAAAATTCTAATTCAATATTCATAAAAATTATTCGTCTGATGCTAACTATGAAATATAATAATTAAAATACATATTTATACCTTTGTTTATTTTTTCAACACTTTAATAAATGTTTCTCTTGGTAGAGTTATATTTCCTACCATTCTCAACTTCTTCTTCCCTTCATTTTGCTGAGCTAAAAGTTTTCTTCTTCGTTGCATGTCTCCACCAGATTTCTAGATTAAAAACGCTTTTTTAAGATCAATATTATACATAATATTATATTAGTTTAAGGAATAAGGATGAATTTTACTAGTTTTCCAGTGATGTCCTTCCTATAAGGTTTGAGATTTTCTCGGGCTAATACTTTTACACCCACAGTTACTTGAATCGCAATCAAGAACTGTTGTCGAGGAATTATATCCAATAATTTAGCAGCTAGACGCTTTGCAGATCCTGTTGCTTTCGATGCATGAACAATTGTACTAAGTTCTTCAACTGGCATTCCGTTGAGTAAGACATTCATCTACAAATTATCAGAACAAAATTTCATTTATTCAGTATTATTTAACTGGTACAAATATTTTTTACTTACTTTAACAATATCAGTTACTTCATACCCATAATCTTCATAATCAAAACTTGCAAACCCTGAAGTAATAGATTTTAACGAGTCATGGAAGTCAATTATTACTTCATTTAATGGTAAAACGTATTGCAATATCATTCTTTTGGTATCCAAGTGTTTTGATGATTGTTGAACACCTCTCTTGTTTTCGCAAAGGCTCATTATAGTTCTCACATGTTGTTCTAAAATCAATTATATATTATTTAAAAATCGTTTATCTTAAGTTTATTAATTTAATTTAATACCTGGTGTAATAATTGTTCCTAAGACCATTGGTTCATAAAATTCTGAAACAATTTGTGGATTGGGAAAGAAAGAAGGATTATTGAAGAATATTTCATCACCACGATTTTCTTTAATATTTTGTTTGCCTATTATTTTTGCTTTATAAGTAACACTTGGAGATGTTATAATACTAGCTGTCTCGTGTTCTTGTTCAAGTCTTTGACAAAACACCTCCATATGAAGCAATCCTAAAAATCCTAAGCGCCATCCTTGACCAAGTGCAGGGCTAATCATACATCAAGCCTTATAAAAATCTGTACGATTCAATAAAATTTAATAAAGTATAATTATTGGATATTTACCTAGACTCAGGACTCATACTGACTGCACTATCATTAAGAACTAATTTTTCGATAGCACTTCGCAAAGCTAGATGTTGTGCTTGATCCACAGGATAAATTCCAGCAAAAACCATAGACTTCGGTGGAGAAAAACCAATAAGAGGTTCAACTGGCTCATTTTTTAAGTGAATTGTATCACCAATATGTGCTTCTTTTGATGTTTTCATGTGACAAGCAATACACCCTACTTGACCTGCGTAACTGAAATAAAACAAAATAAAAAAACATTATTTAATAATGCATGATTTTGTGTTTCATTTTATGCATAATTTTATTAAAGTTGAAAATTCACTTACAGAGTTTTAACAAGCTCTTCTTCAGGTCGAAGAAGCATAAGATGTTTCACTTCATATGATTTTCCAGTATGCAAAAAAGTAACATGTTGTTTCACCGATAAAGAACCTTCAGAAATGTAAATTAAGGAAATTGCACCTCTGTATCTATCATACCAGCTGTCAAATACTAAAGCGCGAAATGGTTTTGTTCGATCAACTGGAGGTGAAGGAATTTTTTCGATAATTGTCTCTAATAATTTATCAACACCAATACCCTGTTTTGCTGAAATCCTTAGTATTTCTTCTTTTTCAAAATCAAATAACGAAATCAGCTCATTAGTTACTCTTTCAGGATCTGCATTTTTTAAGTCTATTTTATTCAGGACTGGAATTATTACAAGATCTTTCCCAAAAGCCAGATAGAAATTAGCAACCGTCTGAGCTTGAACTCCTTCATTAGCATCGACTAAAAGAATCACACCTTGACATGCTGCTAATGATCTGTGTACTTCACTAGAGAAGTCTACATGACCTGGAGTATCAATTAGATTTAATAAATATTCAGTTCCTTTATAAACATACTTGAGAGATACTGTTTGAGCTTTTACAGTAATTCCTCGCTCTTTTTCTACTTGTAATTTATCCAGGATTTGAGCTCCAGAATTCACATTAATAGCTCCAGTTATTTCTAGTAGTCTGTCTGCTAGTGTACTTTTTCCATGATCAACATGAGCTATGATGCTGAAGTTTCGTATGTTCTCTATTGGAGTTTTGTATTCTTTCAACTCTTTGGCTTCAGTACAATATTTTTTATGTAAGGTATTATTACAGAATCTAATAAAATATTTTTTATAATTGTTTAATTAATTTTGTAATCATGATTTTAATTTATGTGTAATTTTCTCAACAATCTTTAATATTATTCATATTTGAAAAAATAAACAATTATTTACTTACTTGGATAATTTTACTACATGATTTTTTACCAACACACGTTTTAATGATGAATTAAATAAATGGATTATTGTTTTCTTAACACTCATTTTATTTTAATATAAAGTGTCAAAATACTATTAATTTACTAAGGTTTAAATTATCTACACGCATATTTCTCGTAAGACATTTCGACACTTTGAGGTTTTAAAATTCTAACCTAACTTCCAGGAGAATCAGCTGATTCCACGAGCCGGTTCCAAATTCACACGCCATACCCAAACAATTATGGCGATCAACACATTGTGTAGAACATTTAAATATTTTCGCTATACACAAGTGATTCCTTGTCATTTAGAGTTATTTAGTGTGAAATACCAAAAATTAAAACATTACATAACTCCACAGTGGATAAATTATAATCAAAATTTCTGTTCTAATGTATCTAACGTACCAGGGATTGAAGACCCCGTCAATCAAAAGAAAAAAAAGCCTTTTATACCAAGAATTACTCTCCTATTCGACAATAATGATCTTACTGTGACAACTTTGGAGCAAGCTGAAAAGTTAGCTAATCGAAGGAATATGAAATTAATAAAGATTGTCGATTTCGATGTTAAAACAGAAAGACCAATCTATAAATTAATGAGTATAAAAGATTTTATAAAGGAAGATAATCTCAGTAAAGCAGCAGCAAAAGTACAGAAAGAAAGATCACTAAAAGAAGACAAAACAATAACATTAAGTAGTAGAATAGCTAATCATGATTTAGAAGTTAAAATTAAGAGTATGCATAAAATGTTGAAAAGAAAACATGGAATTCGTGTCATTATTTCAATAGATAACAACCATGAAAAAGCAGTAAGTGTCTCAATATTTAAGCCAACCACTATTTACCACTACTTAGTATTTAAATTTCATTACTCTGTTGTTAATAAATGAATATTTTACAGGAATTTGTCAGGAATGAAATCATGAAAGCTTGTCCAGAACATGGAAAAATTATAAGCAATTCTGCAACTTCTTCATCGTTCCAAATTATTTTAAGACCCGACTTAGACAAGCTTCTAAATAAAACAGATGCTCAGGAAAAAACTGAAGAAAATGCTGGATGATTGTTAAAAACTGTAAGTCTTTAGTTTCTAAGATAAATCGCATAAGAAAAGTTTCTTATAACAAATATAAGTGGACTGAGAATGATTATGACTACACTTGGCGATTATAAGTACTTTTAAAAGTTAAGTTGTATTATAAGTTGTAAGTTAACTATTAGCATTATTCTCATTGTATGAAAAACTGGTCATGTAAATAAAGTGAAAATGCTTAACAGTTAATTTTCAAAACTATTTAATAAAAATAATATTACATGATAATAAAGTAATTAATAATCAATTATTAATGAAAAATTTTATCTTGAATAACATTACAATTATTACTAAAAATGTGCAAATATTCAATTTCAATATAAAAAATGGATATCTAAATGCACAAAAAGTATACATCACATTATTGTTTTACACGAATATTTTATGTGTGCTATTTGTTATATTCATCCTAAACTCATACTAACACTGTAAAAATTGATTCTTTGAATACACACATTCTGAACTAAAGTGGAAAAGGGGCAAAGTTGATGAGCCTGGAAATTTTTATTTAAAATAACATAAGAAATTAGTCTACTAAGACAATACTATGACTTAAATAAACATACTGATATATTTTTTTATGTCACTTAAAGAACAATAAAATTCATGACATTGATTATACTGAGAATGAACACAACATGAATCTCTCTCATCTAAACATTGTTTCGACTCATCCCCTTTTTTGTTTTAGATCAGAATTATATTTATAATACTGGACTTTCCAAGAATATTTCTTCTTCATAATAATACACACTTATTGACATTTTTGAGATATGTATGTGCGTTATATGATTTTCTTTCGATTAATGACATTAAAGAGTATATAGATGACTGACCGATAATAATATTTTTAACAAGGAATCATGGAACATTTTCGAAATTCTACAAGTCGTGTACAAGGTTTTCCATGTGGTCCATATGGATGTATTTGAATTCTCCTTGTTCGATGTTGGACTGCATTACCACAGGTCGCATGACAAGCAGACCATGATGACCAATGAGTTAATTTACAATCCACTGAAACTAAATTCGTTAAATATTTGTAATTTTACTCGTATATTCTATACAGTATAGATAAAATTCATTCACATACCTCCATTGTCTTCCCAAACTGACTTTCGATCTCGATAGCGTTTACGACGTTCTCGACTTCCTTTTGCTGATGTCATAAATGAGAAAATGGATATTTTATCAGATGAATACAGATGAGAAGTTCAATTATTGTTACTTACAGCAGTTTGGTAGATTATGACACTTCTTTCGCCTTATCAATTTTGTTGGACACCGTTTTCCACCATTTCTTGCAGGCACCTATTAAAATAAAAAAATTCATTTAGAACAAAAATTATTTATATTTGAATATAAATTATTCCATTTTTTATATATACATACTAAAATTGATCTAGTAATAGTTGTATAACCCCGACATTCATTACAAGGGGTCCATTCACTCCATTCTGATACTTGACAATCGACCTTTCCACTTCCATGATACTCTTGTGTTGTTGTGATCACTTGACTGCCCGCTGGAATTCCATTGAAATCTTCTGACTCTTCTGAGTCTAAAATATTAAAATTTTTTGTTAATTGTCATTCGAAAAATCTATTTTAATTAATATCATAAATAAAAGTTAATAATGATAAAATATTAATTCATAAAGTATTTGAATCACCAAATTTATCACGTTTGGATTTTTTACTTCGTTCATTTTGAACAGGAATATGATAACTAAGAACGCTACTGAGATAGACTTTATAATCCTTTGGCGTGTCTAATGGTGTTAATTTTTTTCCTCCTTTTATTAATTGGATGAGTAAGCGTGAAATGCAAATATTTTTTTATAACAATACAATGCAATCATATCTTTATAATAAAATGAGATTAGTTTATTGTAAACTAGAGAGTTAAATTATAAATTAAAATTAGTCAAACTCACTTCGTATATCAATGCAAACATTTGTGCATTCCTTGACTGTCTGAAAATTATTTCGATTCCCATCACATCCTCCATAATTGAAAAATTTACATTGATTTGTCGAACTGTTAAAGTAAACACGCTTCAAACTCATCCCACAAGATCCGGTTATTTTGGGTTCTTTACAAATTTCTGAAAATAGATTAAAATATTCCTGTCAATGATGCATCAAAGAAGATGAACGAAAGCTGATATCAGCGAAGCATTATATTTATTTTAAAATATGTTTTCATACCCTCAGCTTCTTCTGGTGTAATTCCACAGCTGAGTATTTTAGCAGTGCAATTAACACTTTGTACTCTACATTCCCATAAACCTTCAGAAGAATCACTCACTGGGCGACGAGATCTTGTTTTCGTTCCAGGACCACAAGTAGATGAACATGGAGACCATAAACTCCATTCTTCATAATTTTCTGATGGGCAATTCTAGAAAATGAATGTTCAGAATATTTAATAATATAATTTTTCATTAAGAATTAACTCATACTATAAAAAATTGATTTAATTTATTGCTTCTTATGATGAGAAAATCGATCCATGATGAAAGAGTGACGTGACAAATGCCAATGTCTTATGGATCACAACGAGAAATGGCGCAGGGAAGACTGTTGAATGATGCGGTTAATTGATGCATCGAATGCATTAGTTATGGTGTTAATTCAATGACAATTGCTGTACTATAGTACTTTTTATTCTTCATTTATTTTATGATGGATAAAATTGAATTTTCTTCAGTTTAAAAATTGTTTTTATTTTTATTCCTCACCTGCAACCATTCTTCGGTTACCTCGACGTCGTCGTTCATCACATTTGTCTCGTACTCGTCTCCTTCATCATCTCCATCATCATCTTCATTTTCATCATCATCATCTTCTTCAATTATTTCGCTTACCCTTTCCATTTCTTCACTCTCACAAGGATTATTCTCACAATCGATCGTTTGTTGAAGTTCAGGTCCATTAGCGATAGACTTGCAATATTTGCGGTTTTTTTTGTGAATGAAATTGCGTGATCGAGTCTTGCTGCCATCGCCACAAGTAGTTGTACAAGAGCTCCAATCAGTCCATTCACTTAGTTCACAGGCCGGAGTTTCAAGAATTGTTCCTTTCTGGTCACGACCATTGCTAATGATTGTTATAGAAGAATTATTTTATTAGAATTACACCTTTGAATTTAAAAAACAAAATTTAAGAATTGAATTTGATTTTTTTTTGTACAAAGTAATAATATTATAAGTTTACTACCATTCTGGATTATTTGAATAACAATCTCCACGGTCTGTTAGAGTTGCATTACAATTATTTGTAGCAGCGGCAGTTTTGTCCTTGTAATTTCGTTGTCTAAGTCTGGTTCCTCGCCCACAAGATGTCGAGCATGGTCCCCAATTGCTCCAAGTTGTTGTTCTACAGGCTTCTGTTTACAACATTGTCAACTTTAGTAACTTCAAAGCTTACTCCAAATTATATGAGTTTAATTAAGTTAAATTCAATGACTTATATGAATAGTCGCTTGAATCATAATTCATTTCATTTCATTCACCAATTTTGACATGAATAAATCTACAAAAAAAAATCTACATTAAAATAAATGAGTTCATATGATAAAAGATGAGTGTTAAATTCAAAAAAAAATAATTATAATAAAAAAAACAAGATGAAGTGAATGAAATTAAAATAAAAGAATAAATAATACTTGCTATTTCTACGCCTTTTACGTTTATGTTCTTTTTTATTTTTATGATTATTGTCACCACCTGAATTGACAGGAGGACTAGAAGATTCATTACAAGCTTTTTCATACAGTCGTTGTCGACTGAGATGAAGCTTTGCCATAGGTTTCATATCCATCCCAAGAGGGTCGTAGAAAGGTGATCGTGTGTCATTTGGCCAACTAGACGTTATCCTTCTTATGGGTTCAGGAGGATCTGATGGAGCGTCAGGTGACTACGAACATCATTATATTCATCTTTAGACATTTATTCGATGGAGAAATTTCCAAGGAAAATGAAAGATCATGTCAGTAAATCTAACATGAAGCAAAGGAACTGAGGCAAAGGAAACATGAAACTTGACAGTCTGATTTCTTGCATTTTTTAAAAATACATAAAATGATAGACAATTATAAAAGTGAGAGAAAAAGTAAAAAAAAAATTTATTCACTCACCATATACGTAATACCGTCGTCTGTGCCAGCATCGATTGGATATAAATTGAGTTCTTTATGTTCGATCCATGAACAATTCGATAAACAGAGTTCAAGTCCAGATACACCAACAATCCAATCAGGTGAAGGAACTAAATATATTAAATCAATATACTATTTTAATCGGTATAGACATATAATAAATAATTATTTCTCCTTAATTTTTCCCATTAAAAAAAGTCTATTTTATGAGCAGTTCATTGTCTTCAATAAGCTTTTTTTTGTTTTCATCTCTACTGGGGAGTAGTATTGTTTTTTTATAACATACTTCACTAACAAGATAATTATCCTTATTAAATATACTATTATTTAGTATAACATTGTTAAATCTCATAATTATGAACGTTGAAAGATATCAAATTATACAAACATGCAATGGTATTTTACATTGTGAAACTAATATATAATTCAAAGACGGTAATTATAATAAAATATTCAGAATAGTTTCATCACGCAAGGTGATAGTCGGAGATAACACTCTTAATTTGCTCTTAATTATTACTTCAGTAAGTGGAATAAATTAAAGCGACTGAAAGAATTTACAATTGCATTAAGTTTTTCAATGAAATAGAAAATAATCAGGATTATTGTAATGAAGATTCATTCAGTAGACAAAAGAAAAAATTAAACTTGACTGTAAGTTGGTTTGTGGTGTTCTCTCAGTAAACCCGACTTTTATTTCTTTCATGACATAGAATATAAACCGTCTTATTAATTATTTTAAAATTAAAAAAGTATTCTAAAGAATATTTTTTATATTAAAAATCTACTTTCTCCATAAGCAATTGGATAATTAAAAAAAATTCATTTACCAATCATAGAAACTAATGACATCAAATGATGTCTCCTATCAACTCTGAACACAGCAAACGTCCTTCCTGTCACATTAGGATGACTTATTCCTCGTGCTTTAATTATTGTCCGAATATTTTCACTCTGAAATAATGATTATTGCAATAAACATCTTACATTTAACATCTTAAGCATGATCATCTTTAAATAAATTGATATTAAGCGAATAATTAAAAATAATTGGTGCTTGTTTCAATAAAAAAAAATAATAATTGGTGCTTTGTCTGTGCATTAATGAAAAGATACCTGATCTTTCAGTTCTGACTCTAATTTTCTCGTTGACCCAAACTCTGCCACTTGCTGAAGTCCTTCACTGGCAGTTTCATTGTATCTCCAGAATCTGTAATCGACTGTATGAGAAGCACCAATCACGTCTGAGAATCTAATAAGCCAACCTTTGCTTGGAAAATCCTATTCATTTGTCATTAAAAATGTGAAATTAAATAATAATTCTAATTGAAAAATGTAATAAAGATTTTCATTAAGTTATTTCACAATACCTTAGGATGAGTATTTCGTGACCAAAGACCTTCGAAAGTAACTTCATACTTGGCTTCATCGCAAGCACAGCATTCCGGAAGTACTGGTCCTGGATCATCGTACAGAGCTTTTGGATCTTGACAAATGGTTTTAACGAGATTCCCTTCATCCATATACACGGTTTCCGGTGTTTCCATTACAGTAGCTCTAATATTTCAAACAGAAAAAAATAAAAAATTGAAAATCAATATATTCTGTTTTTTATTTATTAAGCTTAAAGCACACTCATAAATTCACTGAGTTCCAACATTTTTCAACAATGAAAATGAACCATAATCCGCCTATAACAGTCTTTCTTCTAAGTTATATTTTTTATATTTAATTTAAATAAACAGAGAAATCATAACATAATCAGATTAACTCATACATTTGAATTTAATTTAAATTATGAAAAGGGTTTGTAGTAACTTATGATGCAGTTTATGAAAGAATAATTCAATGAAAAAACTAATGTCCTTTGTGCATTTTTAATTAATAGTAATTATGAAATCTAATACTTTACATTAATTCTTGTAAGTAAATGAATTGTTTTATGAAAATAATAAAATAAATATGGTTGAATAAATTATTAAATTAGGTACATGTGAAAGTCATCTTATGATTAATACTCAAGTGTTGCTGTGCCAGATGTTACCCATTTCATTCCAAGAAAGCATTCTATGGTAATTCTAATTTTTTAATATAATTCTTGATTCAATTCTACTAGTAAATTTTTATGAATCTACATGAATAGTAACATGATCAATAAAAGTTTTATTATCGAAGAAATAAGAAAAGATAAATAAAAAATAATTTAATTTCCTTTAGAGCTGAGTAAACTAATAACCAATTGATTTACTAGTTAATCAATACAAAATAAAGGTAAATAATCTTTCCATAAACCATCAACAAAGAAAATGGAAAAATGATCTAATTTAAAAAATTGTTCAATCAATATTAATTCACTTGTGGTAAATAAATTGAAAATACCTGATGAGAATACATCCACTTCCTTCTGGAGGACTTGTCCAAGCAACAGTAACATCTTCTTTCGGGATCATGGAAGTTTCCATGATACTATTGGGACACTTGTCAGAAAATTGACTAAGCATCTCATCAACTAGGTCGAACGTTCCTTCTGCAGTAGATGAGTCGTTTTTATTGTCTGCAGTCAATAAGAATCTTGTGAACTTTTGTGGTCCAATCTCTTGTGACTTATCACCTTCAATCGTCACTGCAAATAATTACCCACAAAAGTTAATTACAAAGATCAGAAATTTCAAAAGTTTCTAACAGAGAAGTTGAAGAGTTGAAATGAAATATTTGTTAATTGGATTCATTGAGCCGTGGTTTTAAGTGAAAAACGAATAAATACGAGAAATTTTATTGATTTATAATTTCAATAACTGTTTGGTGGTAGACTAAATTGGTTTCATTTAATTATTTATTTTTTGAGCAAATCAGAAACTAAAACTTGTTACAGGGTCACATCTCTAATCTATTTTTGCATTTAATATTTTATATCTTTCATCGAATTTTTTCATAACTTTGTATTCAATTAAATCTAAAGTAAAATGTGAGGAAAATTCTCTTGACGGGTTCCCAATTATAAGTAGTGAATAAATTGATCGGAATGAGAATGTCAGGATTGATAGGAGTTGAAATTTATGAAATGTAGTATAAATTTTTTAAACGCAGGAAAGTAAAGATTTTAAATAAATCATGCTTTATTTTATTTTCATCAATCCTACAAAATTTATTAGAAATTCAAATTTTTTCATCAATTTGTAGGAACATTTTGATGATTTATTTAAAATACATTTTATATTTATTAATGTCTGTAGAATTGTATGTTTTAAAATAAAACTACCTGAACAAGACGGGATTTACTGAAGCAAATAAAAAAGTTGGCTAATATTACATTCAATTCCGATTAAAAAAATATTATGTAACAATTATTCCATAATAATAATTTATATAGCAATTAAAATATAATTGACTAGCTTATGTTGGTATTAAGCAACCCATTTTTGTATCTAATTCTTTTTTTTTTTAAAAAAAAAAGCTATTTTATGAAGCTTATTTTTTCTCTTTATAATATTTTTGAATTATCATTGTATCTTATATCACTAGCTATTTAATTATATAAACGTATAAGTTTATTCTGCATTTCAAAGAATTATACGTCAATCCTCCATACCCAGTTATTCCTATGTCTGCTTTAATATTAAAGTTTAAACCCTACTTATATTTCTCTTAAATTAATAATCTTATTAGTACGACTCTAATATCTTTTCACGAATATTTCTTCAATTTTTATCTTGAGAAATTCATTAAAGTATACTGATAACTTAAATGATACATTTTTTTTACCCATTGGTTATCCAAGACTTCTAGATCATTGAAAAGGATGGAAAAGCAACATATCAAAGATATATAATTTGATATGTAAATT